TCTGTATCTAGAAAGCTTAAAAGCAGCTTCTGAAAGTCTCAAGTTTAATTTCCAAATTACATTTTTTTAATCATTGTGAAATGTCAGAACTGAAGAAATTGAAAAGTATTTGGAAAACATAACTACAAAGAAAATACCACTAAATGCTGTAGACTCAAAATGGAAAAAAATTCAAAATATTGTGTCCCTATTAGCTCTGAAAGAAACGAATGCAGAAAGCAAGCAAAATACAGCTCCAGCTCCTTCCCCGGGCATTCACGGATGCAGAGGCAGGCTACCACAGCCTGCTTCTCCAGGAATCCAAAAGGTCCCAGGCAGTAAGCTCAATCTCCCCTGGATCCTCTCACCTCCGAGATAGCTGTGACTCCCTTGGAGACAGCACTCATGTATGACAGCCAGCAAGGATGGCCGGGCTTTCTGTTCTATGTTTCTCATAAGGAAAGGAAGGAATGTTTGAAAAACAAGAGAAGGATCAGTATTTATGGTCTAGAATATAATTTTATATATTTAAAAGACTTTTTCTACAGTCAATTCATTCCACATAAAACTACTTTTATGTATCTGCTATGTCCCAGATTCATTACAAACTCTACGAGGGCTTTGTCTTGTGGTATCCTTGGTGTTAAATGCTATTTTAGACAGTAGTGATACAAAAGTGAATAAGCCTGCCCATAAGACGGCCACCAAAACAAACACAAGTTACTAAACATAAAGCAATATAAAAATAACATAAATGCATGCATGAAGTGTTATGATAGTAAAGAAACGTAAATAGAGTTAGGCACGTTGAAAAAGGCTTTAAGAAGAGTTGAGCCTGGAAAGAATCATGGGATTCAGTAAGGCAGAAAGAAACAATGTGTGTAAAAATACAGAGGCATGAACAATGCACTGGTGTGGCAGGAAAGCTGGGTTTCATCAGCACAAGAGGCTCCCTGATGAGGAATGACAGGAGACAAAGCTGGAAAAGGAATTTGGAGCCACAGACTACAAAGGTCCTTAAACATAATGCTAAATTGGGCTTCAATAAAAGAAATTGGACTTTATCAGGTAGGTATCATTAAATTTTTTTTTTTTTTTTTTTTTTTTTTTTTTTTTTGAGACAGACTCTCACTGTCTCTGATCCAGGCTGGACTGCAATAGCACAATCTCAGCTCACTGTAACCTTCGACTCCTGGGTTCAAGCAATTCTCCTGCCTCAGCCTCCTGAGCACCTGGGATTACAGGTGCACATCACCATCCCCAGCTAATTTTTTTATTTTAGTAGAGACAGGGTTTCACCATGTTGCCCAGGCTAGTCTCGAACACCTGAGCTCAAGCAGTCCACCCACCTCAGCCTCCCCAAGTGGTAGCATGACAGGTGTGAGCCATCACACCCGGCCTCATCCAATTTACACTTTGGGGCAGTGACTCGAGAGAGGATAGAAGCTGGAGAGACATGGAGATTGTCAGGAAAACAAGTCAGAAAGCCACCGTACCAACCTATGTGAGAGCTGGCAAAGGCCTGAGAGCAGCAGACATTCGGCAGAGAGGTCAAGTGAATAAGAACACAGCTTTTTCTGACAAGACTGAATGAGAAAGACAAAAGAGAAAGAGCAACAGGACAACTGACATTTCTAGTAGAACGTTAAAAGAGATGTCAATATCATTAAAAAGTGAAGGAACAAGAGACGGTGTTTTTGTTTAAGTCACTTTTTCCGCAGAGTGAGACGGAGGCCTAAAGTCCTAGTTTTAAAAATAATGTTTTGTTTTAAGTTATCTGTGGAACACCATGTTTAAGCTCCAGGAGGTCCTCTGAAATAAGAGACTGGTCTTCAAAAGGCATGTAAGTGACAGTTGCAGATACACGATTTGAGATGCTTTCTAAAAGTAGGTAATTTCACAGCCAGAAAGGCAAAGATGGAATCCAAATTCAGTTTCCAAATAAAATCAGCCTAGGAGGGATAGAGGAATGGGCTAAGCAGAGAAAAGATGATGGCAACAAACCCAAAATTAGAATTCTAAATCTAATACCAATAGTGGTATCTACACACACTCACAAATCACAAAATATGTCATATGATGAGCATACCTATGGGCATGGCTGAATGCAGCACACCCATGAAAAACAAGAGAAAAAGGAAAGATAGCCAGGGAGCAAGTCGGCACCAATGACGACTACATGTGAAGTGACAGTAAAGGCCAGACCACAAACTCCAAACGCCTGCACAAAGGAAATGAGCAGCCCAACCGGAAAACGGCAAGACCCAGGAAACAACCCCATCCATTAGCTTACTGTGCAGATTCCATCCCTCTAAACAGAGTTTTAGCCCCAGAAAATCACAGGGGCTGTGGGACAGATTCACATACAGTATCACTTAGTTATTCAAAGAGGGATACAGACCAACATAAGTTCACAGAGAAGGCAGAAGAGGCAGAATTGAATGTGGAACACCAATGAAGTAACCAATTATCCTGGATTCAAATATTCCAACCTAGCTAGGCACGGTGGCTCATGCCTGTAATCCCAGCATTTAGGAGGCCAAGGTAAGTGGATCACTTGAGGCCAAGAGTTTAAAGACCAGCCTGGCCAACATGGTGAAACCTCATCTCTACTAAAAAATACAAAAAATCAGCCAAGCATGGTGGCACACACCTGTAATCCCAACTACTTGGGAGGCTAAGGCAGGAGAATCGCTTGAACCCAGTAGGCAGAAGTTGCAGAAAGCAAAGATTAGGCCACTGCACTCCAGCCTGGATGACTGAGCGAGATTCAGTCTCAAAAAATACATATATTCCAACCTACTGTGAAGCCCTGTGTCACAATTATGTTTTAAAAACAGGGAAACTAGAGACATAATGCAAGAGAAGATACAGTCATCTGAAACTGGAAGGGGAGCAGGGGTAAAAGCAACAAGTACGAAGCTACAAGATGCCTCAACTTCCAGTCTGCACTAACTTCAACAGCAGCAGTCAGAACATTGCTTGGCACACCCTACACTTTTGTGCATTTCAAACAACTTTTATGCCTTTTTTTAAAATTTTTTTGAGAGACAAGGCACGACAGCACAATAACCTCAGCAAAAGCTGATACTTAAGTAATTCTGTCTCCAACGGCTATCCACAACACTGTTACCTTAACCAAACTGAATCTGCTTATGAGTAAAATGGACTTATCTTCATGGGCCCATTCCAGAAGTCTTTTCATTTATCTCTGCTTATTTTATCACAGAGGCACACGCTACCATCCTGCCTTCCAGAAGACTTTTATTATCTATAATTCTGTAAGAGAGTCACTGACTTCGTTAGGCCTTCACTTCCCCACCTGTAAAACCTGACTGATGCCTTACAGGGTTGTTTGTGGACCAAAAAGTACAATAAAAAATGTAAACGGTACTCGTTTTTAGGTCTGGCAAACAGGAGCGACTCCCATGCTACCCGCTAAAGGGACTGAAAACGGAGCGGTGAAGTGACTGGCACCTTATCAGGTCCGGTGAGGAATCCAACGTCTACTGACCTCTTCCATCACTCACCGCCTGCCCAGCTCTCGCCGTGCCCTCCACCAGCGCCAGGCCTCCCACATCGCCTTAGGCTTCCCATGCTCAAGTGAGGGGCAGAGAGACTACCGACGATACAGGGACAGAGAGCAGCGGAAAATGACTTGCCCAAGGTCAAAACGTCAGAGCGGACGGGAAAGCTCGGCCTTCCAGCAGCCGAGGCCACGTCCCCGCGTGTGCCCCTCCAGCCCGGAGGAACCACACGCTGCGCCTTCCTGGCCTTGGGGGCACTGCGGGGGCCGCTCCTGGCCAAGCTCAGAGAGCTCCCTGGCCTCCCCCGCGCACCCCTGCCGCGCCCTCCACCTGCTCACTGCCCGGGAGGCCGAGCCCCCACGCCCGCGTTCTCCCGAGCCCGGCCCCGCGCCCCAGGAGCCCCCACAGCCCGACCCCGGGCCCGGACCCCCGGCGCAGGACCCCGAAGGTTAAGTTTTCTACATCGTGGAGCCCCTCCCACGCTCCCTGCCACGTCTGCGGCCTCACGCACTGTGGCGCTCCGGACCCGGGCCCCGCCGCCACCGCCGGGCTAGCGCCGCCGGCCGCCCAGCCCAGCGTCCCCCGGCAGCGAGCTCCTCCTCTGGTCGGGACTAGGAACCCGAGACGGCCGCTGACTTCCTCCGCGAGCTCCGCCCCGCCGCAGCCCCGGGAAGCGCCCGCCGCCGGAGCCGGACAGACGGCCCCCATGGCCAATCGGAACTCGAGACCGGAGTGGGGGGGGGGGGGGGTGCTGACGGACGGTCCCTATGGCCAATAGAAATGCGCAATTGGTGGAGGCGAGTCCACTGTATCGAGCCACGCCCCATCTGCGCTTCCGCTCGGGCAGGGGAGGAGCGAGGAAACTTTCCCAGAGTTCCTTCGAGCTCCCCGGGTCCCCGCGGAGCTGCGGCCGTCAAGGGGCGGGGACGGGGGTGGAGCGCTGGAACGCCGGCCCCGAGCAGCTGGTGGCTGGGGCGTCCCTGCGGAAGCGTGCGGGGCTGGTCACGCTCGGGCCCCGCTGCGTCTGGAGCCACCCTGCCCGGCGTGGGACGAGGCCGTGCGCGCCCTCCCAGACCCTCCGCTTCGGGAATTCGCAGAGGAGCGGCTCTCCCCACTCTCTCACATGTTCCGCGCCGAATCACGCGCGAGCCGCGGCAGCTTCAGGATGGCGGACGCAAGCGCTCCCGGATCCCCAGGTCCCTCCGCCCCCCTGGAGCGTGGTCACCCCGGACCGCCCTGTCTCTGAGGAAAAACCGCCCCGAGCCCGGGACCGCGGCTTCTCTCACGCGGGGCGGGCCGGGAGTGTGAGGGGGCCGCCCGCCTGGATACCAGGCCGGAGGCGTGAGGGGGCTGCTCTGCCGGGACTGGGACACGCGGGGCTGTGCGGGGCGGGTCGCGGGAAGAGCCAGAAGGTCCCCTTTGCCTTCGGCTTCTCCCTGCTCGGCCGCCGGTGTCCCGCCCGCTGCCGCCCCGCACAGCCTGGCCCAACCCGAGGCGATGGCGCAGCCGCGGGACCCGCGGCGCCTCTTTAGGTTGGTGCAGGAGGGCCGGCTACGCGCCCTGCAGGAGGAGCCGCAGGCGGCGGCGGGCTGCCCGGGGCCAGCCGGGGATACCCTCCTGCACTGCGCCGCGCGCCACGGGCGTCGGGACGTGCTGGCCTATCTGGCCGAGGCCTGGGGCATGGACATCGAGGCCGCCAACCGAGACTACAAGCGGCCTCTGCACGAGGCGGCCTCCATGGGCCACCGGAACTGTGTGCGCTACCTGCTGGGCCGGGGCGCAGCGGTCGACGCGCTGAAGAAGGCCGACTGGTAGGTGCAGGGCGGAAAGACACCCCGACTCCCTCTCCCCGCAGAGTCGTAGCGAGTTCCCTGTGCGTCTCCGTTCCGTTGGACACCGTAGCTGTTCTCAGCTCCTAGTTCTCACCCCAGGCCTACTTGGCGGCCGGGACCACCTGCCCAACTTGCCTTTAAAACGCACACGACCTGCAGAGTCCCTCCTTCTGCCCTTATAAGTTAACTGGTCAAGGCAGTCACCTCCCTTTCTAAAGCACAGAGTAGTGTAGAATATAACCAAAGAGAATGTCACCAATGAATTGTGTGTGCTGCAAATAGCTCTGGATGCGATGTTCTGGGGACATTTAGCTAACTTACTTCTGCACCAATGCATTGTTTCAGTTGACATTGCTCCGATCAATATGCTTGTTCCGAATTCCTCAGCTATACACTCGTGTGTGTGTAGAGCACTGTGCCATTGTATCCCATATGTGTAGCCTTGCATCACCACCACCACCGCAGAGACACTGTACTGCACCATCACACACGCCAATTGCCTTTTCTTGGTTAGATTGACACTGATTTTGGTACTCTCTAGGTCAGGTTCCTAGAGGGTGTGAACCTCTGCAGGAAAATAGGGAAGTACATCTCATCCACTGGGTCAGGGGAATAGACCTGGTTATGTTTTGAGGGTTGTCTGTGAGTTTTCTTGGCTCTGTCCCAATTCACTGCTATCCTGTAAACTAGCTCCTAAGCAGCTTTGTCTCCCAGGTATCCCTCCTCTAGGTACACATTCGTCGCAATCATTTTCCCCTTATAATTTGTCCCAGTGTCTTCACAGAAGGCACAGACGTTGCCAGTCTTCCTACCTCCCGGACCCCTGAATCCTCTAGGTTTTCCATCCATGCAAAGGATATATGTGTTTTGAAGACCTGGCCTCTTGCTTCTCATGTCTCAGCTGCTTCCATCTGACAGCTTCTCCTTGTTGGCCTTAGGACTCCTCTGATGATGGCCTGCACAAGGAAGAACCTGGGGGTGATCCAGGACCTGGTGGAACATGGCGCCAATCCACTCCTGAAGAACAAAGATGGCTGGAACAGTTTCCATATTGCCAGTCGAGAAGGCGACCCTCTGATCCTCCAGTACCTGCTCACTGTTTGCCCAGATGCCTGGAAGACAGAGAGTAATATCAGAAGAACTCCTCTGCACACTGCAGGTACAGCCTACAGTTCTGCAGACATGCAGGTACACAGATGTAGGTGCTTCACCCAGCATTGCCCGACCTTATCTTCAGGTCACCCACAGGGGAAAGGAGGATTTTGGAAAACAGAAGGCAGAGAATAAGAGCATCTAGTTGGGCCAGGCGAGGTGGCTTATACCTGTAATTCCAGCACTTTCGAAGGCCGAGGCGGTGGATCACCTGAGGTCAGGAGTTCAAGACTGGCCTATCCATTATGGTGAAGCCCTGTCTCTGCTAAAAATGCAAAACAGCCGAGCTTGGTGGCGGCTGCCTGTACTCCCAGCTACTCGAGAACTCAGGAGGCTGAGGCAGGAGAATGGCTTAAACCCGGGAGGTGGAGGTTGTAGTGAGCCAAGATCACCCCATTGCACTCCATCGTGGGGCAACAAGAGTAAAACTCTGTCTCAAAAAAAAAAGCACCTAGGGGCCTTTTGGAATATAATCAATTTCTTCTTTTTTTTGAGACAGAGTTTTTCTTTTGTTGCCCAGGCTGGAGTGCAGTGGTGCAATCTCAGCTCACTGCAACCATCACCTCCCAGGTTCAAGTGATTCAGGCGTGCCTCAGCCTCCTGAGTAGCTGGGATTACTGGAGCATGCCACCATGCCCGGCTGATTTTTATATTTTTGGTAGAGATGGGAGTTCACCATGTTGACCACGCTGGTTTTGAACTCTTGACCTCAAGTGGTCCATGCACCTTGGCCTCCCAAAGTGCTGGGATTATGGGGGTGAGCCACCGCGCCCAGCCTGTAGTCTAGAAAATCTACAGTGATTATACTCTAGCCACAGCTGGCAATTAGTGACCAAGGAATCCTTTCTAAAACTTTGCAAATAAGTAGAAAAGTTTTTTTTAGCTGATGAATTATTTTACCAGTTTTCCCCAGGAGAAGCAATCAGCACTCCATCATTCACCCAAAATAATGGAAGACAAATAGTCATAACCTTTGAGTATAGTTACTTTTAGTAGGGGAATTAAATTCCAGGCTATTTGGTCATGGATTGCTGTTAAATGTTTTGAAATTCCTGGGCAAAAATGGGCTAGCCTTGGGTATTCACAACACAGAAGTGTAAGTTTAGGTTTGAAAGTTTCCCATGAAAGTGTGTATAAACGCATAAAGATAAGATAATCAGGTGTCAGCTGTGTACATGTAAAGTGAAAACATTATTGTTCACCACTTCAGTTAAATGTTTATTTTTGTCTGATAGTAACAAAATACCCAATTTAATGACTCCTTCTTGTAAGTTATTACTAATAGAATGGGGCAGAGAACAGAGGCAGGAGGCAGGAAGCATTTTATATGTGCACTAAAAAGCTCTAATTCTCAGCTTTCTCCTCCCAGCAATGCATGGCCATTTAGAGGCAGTCAAGGTGCTTCTTAAGAGGTAAGAATAATACAGCAAATAGGGGAAAATATTTGCTAACTATGAGAGTTAATATCAGTGCTACATAAAGAGCTCAGATAGATTTTTAAGAAAGAAACTAGGCTTTCAAAAGAAAAATGAACAAAAGACATAAGCAGATAAAGAATATGAAACAAAAATAATTAACAAATATCTGGGGGAAATATTTACAATGGCAAAATCATCCATTTTTCTGTTTTTTTCAACAAGCATTTATACATTCATTTAGTGCTTAATATAAAGTAAGCCCTGTACCAGGTGCAGGGGCCACAACAGAAGCAAGACACATGTAGTTTCTACCCTCCTGGAACTCACAGACTGGCAGGAAAGACCGTGAAGGAGTCCCAAAAGTCTGGTGTGTATTACAAGGACTTGCAGGATCCCTGCAGAACAAATAACAGGAAGACCCAATTCGGCTTAAGAGTAAAGACTCACAGTGCTAATGTTTAAGCTGTGACCTGAAGGAGAAAAAGAAATGAGCTGAAAGTATGAGCAAGGGAGCATTCCAGACAGCAATAACAGCACTCACCCATGCTCCAAACTGGGAAAAAGTGTGGTACGTTTAAGAAACCGAAAGGTGTCTAGAATATACTGCGGCCTGAACAGTGAAGGGGAGGGAGAATGAATACTATGAGCCACATTAAGGATTTTCCTTTTTTTTTTTTCTTTTCGAGATGGACTTTCGCTCTTGTTGCTCAGGCTGGAGTGCAATGGCACAATCTCAGCAGCTCACTGCACCTCCTGGGCTCAAGCCATTCTCCTGTCTCAACCTCCCAAGTAGCTGGGATTGCAGGTGCACGCCACCCCACCCAGCTAATTTTTCATATTTTTGGTAGAGACAAGGTTTTACTATGTTGGCCATACTGGTCTTGAACTCCTGACCTCAGTTGAATCATCCATCTCAGCCTCCCAAACTGCTGGAATTACAGACGTGAGCCACTGTGCCTGGCTGGGACACAGATGTCTAAAATATTTTGGCTGTGGAATTGAGGGATGGTGGTAATCATTTGATTATAAAGGATGAGGGAAAGGCACTGGCAAGGGGTGACTTCAGGGCCTCTGGTGCAGGAAGCTGAAGACACCAAGTGCTGTCAAATGGGATGGAGAAGGTCAGAGGAGCAGCTGGTCTGCTGGGGAAGACCATCATGCTCCTGAAGGCCTAGTCCTCAGTTCAGACACAGATGGAGGAAAAGAGAGAGAGAGCTCCACACTCACAGGTCGTTTGCACACATGCAGTCCACCCGCAGGTAATCAGGTGTCAACTGTCCCCTGGGTTTAAGGTGGTAAATTTTCTTAGCTCTTACTTGGGTTTCTGGCTCCAGGTGCCAATATGAACCAGACTGCAGAGACAACTGTGGCGTCACCCCTTTGATGGATGCAATCCAGTGTGGTCACATCGACATCGCTAGGGTGCTCCTCAGTGAACATAGGGTATCAAAATGGTTTTGTTTTTACTCTTTTCTTTTGGTTCTTGCTACAAACTTTATGTCATAGGATAAGCAGAGCACATTGTTATTCAGATCCCATGTTCCATTCCCAGCCCCTCCAAACTCCCTCTCTGGGACCTGGTAACCTCTTTAAGCATTAGTGTTCCCATCTGTAAAATGGAGACAAACTTAGTTTCTTCAGAAAGTTTTATAAGGATTAAATAATGTAACGTACAGAAAGCAGTTAGCAAAGTACTCAGTAAATGGTAGCTGCTTGATAGCAGTAATAACAACAAACTGTCTCTGCTCATAGTGCTTTTGGCAGCGTAGCCTGGAACATTGAACCATAACCGTCTTTTTGATTAGAGAGCCCTTTGAGAGCCAGGTGTGGTGGCTCATGCCTGTAATCCCAGCACTTTGGGAGGCCAAACCAGATGGGTCAGCTGAGGTCAGGAGTTTGAGACCAGCCTGGCCAACATGGTAAAAGGCATCTTTAAAAATGTAAAAATTAGCTAGGCATGGTGGCACACACCTGAGGCTGAGGCAGAGACTTGCTTAAACCCGGGAGGCAGAGGTTGCAGTGAGCCAAGATCGTGCCACTGCATTCCAGCCTGGGCGACAGAGTGAGACTCTGTCTCAAAAAAAAAAAGAGTCCTTTGAGAATCAGACAAAAGCCACCTATCCTCCGCCCAGAGAACTGTGTGTAAACAGCTCAGTTTTGCTGAAGTGCCAGCAGGTGCCCAGATCTAAGTTTCCCTGTTTCTTAATTTTGACCTTTGCTCCTTTCTGTCCTCTCCCGGCTAGGCTTGTCTTTCAGCAGAAGACAGCCTGGGTGCCCAGGCTCTGCACAGGGCAGCCGTCACAGGGCAGGACGAAGCCATCCGATTCTTGGTCTCTGAACTTGGCGTCGATGTAGATGTGAGAGCCACATCAACCCACCTCACAGCACTTCATTATGCAGCTAAGGTTTGTTACTTCTTACAACGGCATCCCAGCTTCTCCCAGGCTTGCCTTACCCCATTGATTAGTTAGCTCTGTAGCATTGTTTCTTTCATCTCTATGGAATAATTGCCCATGATATTCTCCTGAAATGGTCAGGATTCTGAAGACCTTTCCCTCTTTAAATAGAAACCTGACTTTATTTTGTTACTAGGCAAAAACTTCTAAAAAAGCCTTTTACTCTATGAAATGCCTCCCCCTCACACACACGTTTTTGTTTTCGGGAATAATGTTATTTGAAGCCATAAATACCTATTGTATGAAATTCCTGGCTCTCTATTCTTTTTTTTTTTCCTTTGCAACCCCCTCCCTGGCTCTCTATTCTTAGACTGAATTTCAGAAATTAAGAACTCTTCAACCAGGGCAAGAGAATTGCACTTACCAGGCTCTCTGGGGTGTAAAATATGAAGATGAGCAAACATTTTCACTGGAAAAGTAGCTATTTTAAATGTTAGGAACAGTTTACCTATTATCTTTAATGTTACCTATGGTTCTATGCCTTTATTTGGTTTTTCCGAGGTGGAGTCTTGCTCTGTCGCCTCAGCTCACTGCAGCCTCCGCCTCCCAAGTTCAAGCAAGTCTCCTGCCTCAGCCTCCCGAGTAGCTGGGATTACAGATGCGTGCCACCATAGTCAGCTAATTTTTTGTTTTTTTTTTTTGAGACGGAGTTTCGCTCGTTACCCAGGCTGGAGTGCAATGGCGCGACCTCGGCTCACTGCAACCTCTGCCTCCTGGGCTCAGGCAATTCTCCTGCCTCAGCCTCCTGAATAGCTGGGATTACAGGCACGCACCACCATGCCCAGCTAATTTTTTGTATTTTTAGTAGAGACGGGGTTTCACCGTGTTGACCAGGATGGTCTCAATCTCTTGACCTCGTGATCCACCCACCTCAGCCTCCCAAAGTGCTGGGATTACAGGCGCGAGCCACCACACCCGGCCCAATTTTTGTATTTTTAATAGAGACAAGGTTTCATCATGTTGGCCAGGCTCGTCTCCAACTGTTGATCTAGTGATCCGCCCGCCTTCACCTCTCAAAGTGCTGGGATTATAGGTGTGAGCCACCATGCCCAGCCTATTTGTTTTTCTAATCAACCACTTTCTCCTGCCTGATGTCCCACTTGTGCCGAAGCTGGTAGATGCACGTGGATAGGCTGAGTACTCTGTGGCTACAGGGTCCTCTTATAGGAAGAATGAGCCTGGAACCTTAACTGTAGTCTCATCACATAGTAGCAGACTTAACTCATTTATAAATATTTTATATTTATCAAATATGATGTTTAAATAATATCCTGCTGGCTATAACAGGAATTCCCATTTATGAGAGGTTATGATCTGTTCTAGTTTATCTCTGTCCTAAAGATTTTAACAAGTGTATATTTGCTTGGAATATTTTAGAGTTGCGGGTTCTGTATAAATCACAAGATTTATATACTGCTCACAGTGATCAAAAGTAACTGCATTGGGTCAGTAATTTGGCCCACAGAGTTGATCATCTATATTGTAATAATTAAATGTCACCAAAATATTTAATGATTTATACTAGAATTGAGAATGATACAATATCTTACTTTAGATATGAAAATTTGGCCGGACGCAATGGTTCACACCTGTAATCCCAACACTTTGGGAGACTGAGGTGGGAGGATCCCTTGAGCACCGGAGTTCATGATCAGTCTGGACAACATAGTGAGACCCTGTCTCTTAAAAAAAAAAAAAAGAGGATATGAAAATTCTCTTCTGGCAGTTGACTGTTTTAGAAAAAGTGCATGATATGTGTGCAAGTCTGTGTTTAAAGTGTGAAAGGAAAATAAAAACTTGGGACCCCCAACTCACTCTGCCGAAAGAGAAAAAATTAAACTGAAAGCTGAGTCATGCAGAAAGCTGCCTTTCCTTTTGTTCCTGAGCAGATAGCTACAGATAAAGGGTTAAATATTTCCACAGGTAGTTATTCTATATTCATCTTGTCTTATGTAAAGTGCCAATTTACTGAGTGGAAACAGATATTTAATATACGATTGCCTATTCCCCCCACCTGCTCCTTTTATCTTGCAGTGTGGATTCAGTAAATTCAGTAATGTAACCATAACTTCCTCCTTTTCACTCCAGCCCTCTTTTCCCCTTTCAATATTAAAGCCCTCAAAATCATTTTTGGAGAAAGACACAGACCTGTCTCCCAGGTATATCCTTAATCTTGGCAAAATAAATTCTAAATTCATTGAGACCTATCTCAGATACTTTTTGGTTTGCAAAAGGTTTTCTTTTATCCTCATCACAGTGATAATAAATTTGTTTCAATTCAGGAAGGACATATAAGTACAATTCAGACTCTTTTATCCTTGGGAGCTGACATCAACTCTAAAGATGAAAAAAATCGATCAGGTACTGTTTAATTTTATGTATGCCTTGGAAATTAGTAAACTGAGTATAACCAATACACTTTTATATTTAAAACACTGGTTTTAATACCCTTTTGTTGTTGTTGTTGAGACAGTTTCCCTCTGGAAACTGTTTTCCAGGCTGGAATACAATGGCACGATCTCAGGTCACTGCAACCTCTGCCTCCCAGCTCAAGCGATTCTCGTGCCTCAGCCTCCCAAGTAGCTGGGATTACAGGCATGCACCACCATGCCTGGCTACTTTTTGAATTTTTGGGTTTTTAATAGAGGCAAGGTTTCCCCATGTTGGCCAGGCTGGTCTTGAACTCCTGACCTCAAACAGTCTACCTGCCTCAGCCTCCTGAAGTGCTGGGATTACAGGTGTGAGCCACTATGCCCGGCCTTAATATTATTCTTCTAGTAGCTCAGCAACTTTTCCCTAAAATATCTTTTCCTCTGCAAAACGGTGGTACAATTGCTGTTAACATAACAATGATGATGACTCCACTCATTACAACTGCTATTGTTAAACTTTGTTTTGTTTTTGTTTTTTTTTTGAGAGGGAGTTTCACTCTCGTTGCCCAGGCTGGAGTGCAATGGTATAATCTCGGGTCACTGCAACCTCTGTTTTCTGGGTTCAAGTGATTCTCCTGCCTCAGCCTCCCAAGTAGCTGGGATTACAGGCAGATGCCACCACACCTGGCTAATTTTGTATTTTTAGTAGAGATGGGCTTTCTCTATGTTGGTCAGTCTGATCTTGAACTGCCAACCTCAGGTGATCCGCCCACCTCGGCCTCCCAATATGCTGGTATTGTAGGTGTGAGCCACCGTGCTTGGCCCAACCTTTGTTATTATTTTAAATCGTAATGACATATGCATCATAAAAGCAGTTTCTTTCTAATCCATGATGACACCTGCTATCCAGGTGTTGCATAAATTCTTCACAGGTCATCTGTTTTGGAGTATATTTAGGAACTATATTCACTATGGTTTTTTTATTGATTTAGAATATTCAGAAACATATTCTGAGAGCTAATTCTTTAGACTTGGACTTTAGAATGACCCATCTAACATTCAGTGAGCCAAAGGCCGTCTCACAAGGGTTTAGTGGGATTTTTTTTTTTTTTTTTTTTTTTTGGACAGCGTCTCACTCTCATCCAGGCTGGAGGGCAGTGGCACGCTCTCAGCTCACTGCAATCTCCGCCTCCTGGGTTCAAGCGATTCTCCTGCCTCCCAAGTAGCTGGGACTACAGGCACCCACCACCATGCCCAGTTAATTTTTGTATTTTTAATGGAGGCAGGGTTTTACCGTGTTTGCCAGGCTGTCAAACTCCTGACCTCAAGTGATCCACCCACCTCAGCCTCCCAAGGTGTTGGGATTACAAGCATGAGCCACTGTGCCTGGCCTAGTGGGATCTTTCTAAGTCTTCAAAGACTTGCAGATACTTAACTACTCACTCCAGGGCTCGAAAGGGCAGCTGCTCAGCCCAGGAAGGTTCATGGCTTCCCTGCTGGAGAGAAGGCAGCAGAATCAGCAGTGCTCCTGGACTCAGCATACCAGAAACCTCAGTGCTGAAATACCCAGAGTGGGAAGTGCTTTTTTGGCTACACAATTCTTATTCGTGGTAGTATTTTTATTTACAAAGCAAATTCAACAAACCTTTTAGAAAGTTTTTTGTACCACGTAAAGTGTGTTTCCAGAGTGTTCAGGAGTATGGGGGAGGACATCTCCTATTTCTTAACTTGTTCCTTGGTTGTTTTAGATAAGTTTTTGTTTGTTTGGTAGGTTGGTGTTTTTTTTGAGACGGAATCTCACTCAGGCTGGAGTGCAGTGGTGCAATCTTGGTTCACTGGCAACCTCCGCCTCCTGGGTTCAAGCCTTTCTCCTGCCTCAGCCTCCTGAGTAGCTGGGATTACAGGTGCATGCCACCACACCTGGCTAACTTTTTTGTATTTTTAGTAGAGACAGGGTTTCACCACGTTGCTCAGGCTGGTCTCGAACTCTTGACCCTGTGATTTGCCCGTCTCATCTTCCCAAAATGCTGGGATTACAGGCATGAGCCACTACCCCTGGCCTAGATAAGTTTCTTAAACTGTCTCTAACTGGTTTTATTATCTTTAAAACTATTTTCAACCCAATCAGGTTAAAAAGAAAAATATTTTGTTCTAGTATAGGTGAAGTGAGGATGAATTATGGAAGACATTAAATTGATACTTTTATTGGGCACTATCAACTCACGAGGTCAGTATTGCTCCAGGGGTTCTGTTTTAAGCCTGTGTGATTTTTGTCACCCCTCAGCCCTGCATCTGGCCTGTGCAGGTCAGCACTTGGCCTGCACCAAATTTCTCCTGCAGTCAGGACTGAAGGATTCTGAAGACATCACGGGCACCCTAGCTCAGCAGCTCACCAAGAGATCAGATGTCCTTCAGGGCTCTGGCCACAGCTCAATGACATAAGGATGTTTCCAAGAGGAGGCAATAAGGCTCATGGTAATTCATTTCTTGCTTCTTAAGTCATTCACAGATTCAGCGAAACCAGTTGGAAGCCAGTTTTCCATCTCCTCCTCCTCCCTTCCCCCATCCTGCATGTCCCACTCCTGCTAAGGAGTTCCCAGTGATTGGGGGGCTGGGTTCCCTGCTTTATGACAGGCACATTATGAAGTCCTGAGCACAGTCATAATCTTTCTGTAGTCCATATCTCAGTGTTTTACTCTTAAAGTAGAATAGATAATGTTTGTGAGGTCAGGCTATGGAGTCCTTAGAGAAGCACGTACCATGCATGAACATAATATGGTATACACACTTTTATACATACATGAAATACCTTTTTTTTTTTTCTTTTGAGACAGAGTCTGGCTCTGTCACCCAGGCTGGAGTGCAGTGGCGCGCTCTTGGCTCACTGCAACCTCTGCCTCCCGGGTTCAAGCGATTCTCCTGCCTCAGCCTCCCGGGTAGTTGGGATTGCAGGCGCACAGCACCACGCCTGGCTAATTTTTGTATTTTTAGTAGAGATGGGGTTTCACCATGTTGGTCAGGCTGGTCTCAAACCCATGACCTCGTGATCCACTGGCCTCAGCCTCCCAAAGTGCTGGGATTACAGATGTGAGCCAACGCACCCAGCTGAAATATAATAACTGCTACGTGATAAAGCTATGATAATAATATTAAAAATATAAATTGCTGTTAGCTTGAACTGTAAAATGTAATTCGCCTGTTTAATTTCTTCCTTCATAGGCTTTTACTTGACCGTTACAATGGTTCATTTGGTTTTGTAACCAGGAGGGGCATGCTTATAATCTGTTTACACATACATTCACAAGAAATTAATAAAAACTCTTGTATGCTCTAAGCCACTGCTAGTTAAGCTATCAAGTTTTAATTGTGTGGGTTTTTGTTAGTTTTAATAGATAGATTCAGTGTTGGCCCCCTTCAGTAATAAATACATTTAGAAAATGTAACTAAGGACTGGGCATGGTGGCTCGTGCCCATTATCCCAGCACTTAAGGAGGCTGAGGCAGACAGATCAGTTGAGGCCAGGAGTTCAAGACCAGCCTGGCCAACATGATAAAACCTTACCTCTGCTAAAAATACAAAGATTAGCTGGGTGTGGTGGTACATGCCTGTAGTCCCAGCTACCAGGGAGGCTGAGGCATGATAATTGCCTGAACCCAGGAGGTGGAGGTTGCAATGAGCTGAGGTCATGTCACTGCACTCCAGCCTGGGTGACAAGAGTGAGACTCTGTCTCAAAAAAAAAAAAAAAAAAAAAAATGTAACTAGGATATTTACAAAATTTCTGTTAACCTGAGTTGAAGATTGGAGTGTTTTGTCTTTAAAACCCGTTTTCCATCCTGTCCCATCTACCCAGGGAACCCTCTGACTGTTAAGGAATGAAACACTCGACATTTAGCTTTAAAAAATATTATAGCCTCTTAAAATCAATTAAAGATAGGATGAGTCCTCAGGCATTTAGATTCTTTTTCTCCTTTTTTTCCTTTTCTTTCTTTTCTTTTTTTGATCCTTTTCTCTGAATTGCAAAGAATAATTATTAGTCTAGATCAGGCTTTTTAATAATACACATCAATTGTAATCAACATTGAATCCTCTTGTTCAGTGTGATCCAGCAAATGCTTATTACACACGCATCTTATTCTCAGTGTTAGGCTCAGCTTGGCACAGAGCAAGAATTTCCTGTTCCTCTTAATTATTCCCAGATGGCATCAGCAGATTCCTGTTTCTAACCACCAAATCACTGTTCTGGTAGAAACACTCCTGTCTTGTGACCTCTAAATTACACACTCGCTCTGTCTGCACTGATTTGAGATGCAGTTGCCACTTTTCTGTTGCTTCAGAGATGCCTGCATTGATGCCATCTGGGTCTGAAGATGGTCCTGTTGGACAGATATTTCAGGTGTGCAGGTGGGACTGAAAAATCAGTCTGGGACTGCCCTCTTTCCTCTCAGCACACACATGAGCAGGTTTGTGTTTCCAGGAGCTGCGTGCATGATCAGCTTCCATTTGGCTTTGCTCTGACCTTACAAACCAGCTGATGATGACAACACAGCATGTCGTTCTCAGTTTTCCTAGATTCCACACACCTTTGTAATAGAAACCGTGGTCACCGGATGCCACTGCTGAAACCACTAAACACCCAGAGATGGCAGTGATTATAAGGACATTAATTGTGGCCTGGGCATGGTAGCTCACCCCTGTAACCTCAGCACTTTGGGAGGCCAAGGCAGGTGGATCACCTGCGGTCAGGGGTTTGAGACCAGCCTGAACAATATGGTGAAACTCCATTAGCCAGGCGTGGTGGTGTGCTCCTTTAATCCCAGCTACTTGGGAGGCTGAAGTAGGAGAATTGCTTTAATGGGGAGGCAGGGCTGCAGTGAGCAGAGATCTTGCCACTGCACTCCAGCCTGGGCAACAGAGTGAGACTCTTATCTCAAAAACAAAAAATACAAAAATTAGCCCAGTGTGATGGCAGGTACCTGTAATCCCAACTCCTTTAGAAGGCTGAGGCGGGAGAATCACTTGAACCTGGAAGGTAGAAGTTGCAGTAAGCCAAGATTGCATCATTGCACTCCAGCCTGGGTGACAGCACAAGACTCCATCTCAAAAAGTAAAAAAAAAAAAAAATTAATTGAGACAAAGACAGTAGCAATAATAGAATAATAACCAGATATTTCCGTAACAATATGAAGAATGCTGTGCCAATGATAATTGATATTTTTCTATTACTCCCTAATTATCGTTACTTTCCTCACCTCCTTTGGGTCTTTACCTACAAATCGCCTTCTCAGTGAGGCCTGCCCAGGCCTCCCAATCAAAAATTAAATCCTCTTCTTCAAAGATTTGGTAACTTCTTTTCCCAGTTTGTTTTTTCTTCTTAGCATTTGCTTTTAGTAAATATACCATATAATTATTTGTTTTGTTCATTGTTTTTCTCCCCCACTGGTATGCCGGCTCCTTGGACTGATTTTTGTCTTTTAAGTTTAAAATTATTATATAGTTAATGAGCGATAAAAGCACTTGGGATTTACTATATGCAGGATAGAATGCTAAGCCCTTACCTAGATTGTCTCATTTTGTCCTCTGACTCTTGCACCGTACAGCCCCTTCTCATGATTATTTGCTCTCAAGCATCTTTTCCCATAACTTTCACAAAGAGTCTCTACTTTTTACCCTCAGCTCATGGCACCTCCCACCCCCCTACAGTCTGGCTTTGTTGTTGCTGCTCTGTGCAGACTCTTCCTTTTGGGTACCAGTGACATCCTAATTGCCATATCAAGTGATACACCTTTAGCCCTTAGGTTACTGATCCTTTCTGTTCACTACCTGCTTCTGGACTCTTGCCACATGCAATAACACACTTCTGGGTTTTTCTTTTTGCCTTTTCCTTCTCTGCCTCTGCACTCCTCTGTCAGGCCAGCCCTCCATGCTCGTGTGTCCCACATTTTGAGTTTTTTCCTGAAGCATTCCCATTCTTGCCTTGGGTTTCAGCTACACCCTAATGTCGGTAACACTCATATCTCTCTCTAGCCCTTACTTTCCACTGCCTGCTTACATTTCTGCATGGGTGTCCTGAGGCTGTCACGTTCAGTTTATTCAATACCTAGCCTTCCCCACAACCCACTGACATACAGGCCTGCTTTCCTGCCTTGGTTGATGGCACCACAGTTCACCCCACCCATGTAGGAAAGCTGGGAGTCAGTCATGAGTCCTCCCTCTTCAGGAGTCCCTGCAGAGGACAGCTGCTGGGCAGTTCTCTCTCATCTGCCTGTTCCACACCATCCCTACTGCAACTCCTGCCCCGGCTCTCACACTCTCCTCCTAGACCACAGTGGCAGCCATTTAAGAGATGGCTGCCACTGTGGTCTAGGAGGAGAGTGTGAGAGCTCTGTTGGTAGAAATGCTTACAGGCCCCTCCTGTTGCTGTGCTCCAGCCAGAAGCTGCACAGGGCATGGGCTGATAAACACATCCACTCCCTGTGTTTTCCCAGGAGTGCGCAGGCTCAACTCCACCTCGACATGGCTGCCAGGGGACTGTCACTAATTTGACCAAGGGCATTGATTGCCAATGGTGGCTTAACCTGCCTCCCAGAGCAGGCACTACACTTTCACTAGGATTTCTGATTGCCTCAACTAAGACCCACTTCTGCCAGGGCTGTCAGCTGGTCCTGAAAGCACACCCGCTGCCATGGTGAGTGTGTGTTATTAAGCGCCATCTAAGCAGAAGAGATGCAAAGAGGTAAAAATTGTAATCACTTGAAAATAGTGAGGATCTAACATATATTACCAAAAAAAATTATTTGAGAAAATACATAAGACAAGATGGAAAGGATCACAAAATGGAAACGAGATGGCAAAATTTGGGCCAAAGAAGCCCCAGGAAACGAATTATAGGGAGGGAGCTCAGGCAGTGAGAAGAGGGAGGAGCAAGCACTGAATTTAATGTAAACCCGGGACATGCTAGAATCCACCAGCAGGTGGCCGACCAGAAAAATGTCCCTTTAAGTCTCCCAGACTTGTTTTTAAGGCTTATTGTGAAATACAGAAAATAGTAAAGGAGAAAACAAAGATAATCTATAGTTCCACCACCTAGATGGAACCACTCTTATTTCCCCGTAGTCTTTCAAAATGCATATAAGGCCGAGCATGGGGACTCATGCCTATGATCCCAGCACTTTGGGAGGCCGAGGCGGACAGATCACCTGAGGTCAGGAGTTTGAACCCAGGAGGTAGCTACCTAGTGCCTCAGCCTCCCAAGTAACTGGGACTACAGGCGCCCTCCACCACGCCTGGCTAATTTTTGTGTTTTTACTAGAAACCAGGGTTTTACCATGTTGCCCAGGCTGGTCTCAAACCCCTGACCTCATGTGATCTGTCTGCCTTGCGATTACAGGTGTAAGCCACCTTGCTTGACCCCTAACTTTTTTTTTTTGAGATGGAGTCTTGCTCTGTCACCCAGGCTGGAGTGCAGTGGCACGATCTCAGCTCACTGCAGCCCCTGCCTCCTGAGTTCCAGCAACTCTCCTGCCTCAGCCTCCTGAGTAGCTGGGATTACAGGTGTGAGCCACCATGCCCGGCCTTGGCCCCCTAACTTTATGTTACAAGCAAATCCTAGTGCTCTGTAAAACTTAGTGAATGTCATGTTTCATGGCTGTCTGATGCTCCGTTGTATTACTGTCCATATTGAGTCTTCTGTGTTGCCTCTTTCGTTGGTTTCCATTTTATTTTATTTATTTATTTATTTTTTTGAGATGGAGTTTCACTCTTGTTACCCAGGCTGGAGTGCAATGGCGCGATCTCGGCTCACCGCAACCTCCACCTCCTGGGTTCAGGCAATTCTCCTGCCTCAGCCTCCTGAGTAGCTGGGATTACAGGCATGCGCCACCATGCCCAGCTAATTTTTTGTATTTTTAGTAGAGAGGGGGTTTCACCATGTTGACCAGGATGGTCTCAATCTGTTGACCTCGTGATCCACCCGCCTCGGCCTCCCAAAGTGCTGGGATTACAGGCTTGAGCCACTGCGCCCGGCCTGGTTTCCATTTTATTTTTAAGATGTAGATGGAATAATCAGTAGAGCTCTATCAAATTCAACTGGAGGCAAGGGTGGCAAGTTAGGGACGGAAACTGCTATTTGAGCTGATCTGCGGAGGTTGACCTGCACCAGTGGGTGGGAGACACAGGCTGCACAGAGGCCTGAGCAACTCTGTGCACCTTTGACTGCATTGTATGGTGAAGGAAAGAAAGTGGTTTGACAGGATAATAGTTTTCTCCGACAGGATAAATGAGGGGTTGAGCATGTGGCATGTTTGTATACTGGGAAAGAAGCCCAGAGAGGGAGGAAGCCAGAAGTGAGGGAGTGAGGGCTCTGTGGGACAAGCCCCTCCAGAAGGTCTGGGAAGTAGGCTTAGAAGCTATTGGAAACCTCAGCTCCAGATGCAGAAGGAGCATTTCTTTCTTAGAGACATAAAGGAAAGAAGCAGGGTGAGGAAGAGGAAAAAGTCCAATGCCAGTATCTTAGAGGGTGGGGCATGTTTATTGCATTTCGTACAAGAATGAATAATAATGTGGACTTATATTTGGCTGTTTTTATACTTATAAAATTACACTCATTCGGTTGGAAATGGTGATGTGATTTTGATTGAGAAAGAAACAAGATGGGAATGAGGGCTGGCCTCTGCTGATTGTGGTGATAGCAGGAACTTGATTGGCCTGTGTGATTAACCCATCCTGCAGCATTTGCAGAACCCTGCCTCCTTCCACCATGCTCAGAATGTGATTGCCTTGATACTGAGGACAGGCCTGCTCACTCCTGGGAAAACACGGGGAGTGGATGGATGTGTTTATCAGCCCATGCCCTGTGCAGCTTCTGGCCTGAGCAAAGCAACAGGAGGGGCCTGTAGGTATTTCTACCAACAGGTGCCTTTCCGGGCTTCAGCATAGGTGAACCAGTCTCTTTTTCCTTCTTCCTACTCTGGAAGGCCCAGCACATCCTCAAGGGGAGTGACACCCTGGTGGCATTTGAAACATTTAAAAAAAATAGCAGTAGCCCTTTGAGGTGGTTCACACTTGTAATCCCAGCATTTTGGGAAGCCAAGATGGTGAGATTGCTTGAGGTCAGGAGTTCGAGACCAGCCTGGACAACATGGTGAGACCCTGTCTCTACAAAAAATACAAAAATTTAGCTGAACATGGTGTGCCTATAGTCCCAGCTACTTAGGAAGCTGATGTGGGAGAATTGCTTGAGCCCAGGAGGTCAAGGATGCAGTGAGCTGTGACTACACCACTGTATTCCAGCCTGAGTGACAGAGCAAGACCGTTTCAAAAAAAAAAAAAAAAAAGCAGTAGGGAGCAAATGAGGACTGGCTGGTGCCTGGGCAGAGTCACAGGGAGAGGCCCAGAGCCAATGCTGACCTCATTGTGTGGGTGCACTGCGGACCTCTGTGAAGGGGTCGGTGAGGAGCTGGACAAAGATCAGAGCAGGTTTGAGAGAGAATGGGAAGGCAGGGCCTGGATCTGGAAAATGAAGCAATGGAGAGGGATATGGATTGATTTTTTTTTTTTTGTAATGGAGCAGATTGCAGTTTATAGATTGACTGCTGAGAGAATGTTCCAACAGCCAGGAAGTGAGGAGGAGCAATGAGCCTAATGTCCATATGAAGCATCTAGAGTCTTGTTAAAATGTAGATTCCTTCAATCCTAGGGATCCTGAAAAAAATGCAGATTCCCGCAGGGAGGAAGTAGAGGGGTGCTGGGCCAGTCAAAAAACGACCTACTGGATACCATGCTCACTGCCTGAGTGATGTGATCCTTACTGCAGACCTCAGCATCATGCAATACAGCCAGGTAACAAACCTGCACATGTATCCCTGTATTTAAAATAAAAGTTGAAATTAGAAAATTTTTAAGATGCAGATGTCCCCCCTCCCCTGGCAACCCCGACTAGCTCCCGGGTAGTTCCCAGGAACAGCCATAGCTGCTGCTCTGCAGACCACATTGAGTAGATTCTTGTGCACGAGGGGAAATGTTTGTGTTTACTCACCGGTTCCTCCCCAGCCTCAAGAGGAAAGCCAAGCAGAAGGGCACAGAGCAGGAGCTGGCGCACTTGGTGCTGGGAGACACCAAGTATCTTCTAGGTGCTTCATCTTCCCAGTGAAATAGGAAAGCAGGTGATCAGCCGATAGTCAGGACATAGTGTGGGAGGTCTGAGAAGTTAGGGGAGAGTGTGAAATAGTCCTTTAGGGGAGCAGAGACCTGGGCAGTGCTTCTGAGGTTCCCACCGTGCTGAACACAGGTGGCTGGGTAGCCCCAGGGGGCTGGGCCTGTAGGTCCAGGGTGGAGGGTAGGAATTTGCACCTCTTTTATTCTTTTCCTTTCTGTAACAGTTTTATTGAGGTATAATTGTTATACAAATCTTCAAATTCTTGATGTATACTATTTGATGAATTCAGACCTATTTGTGCACCCAGGAAACTATCACCACAGTCAAAGCAATAAACACATCCCTCACCTCCAAAGCGGGGCATCCAATCTTTCGGCTTCCCTGGGCCACGTTGGAAGAAGAATAATTGTCTTGAGCCACGCATAAAATGCACTAACACTAAGGATAGCTGATGAACGTTTTAAAAAAAAAAATCTCACTGTTTTAAAAATGTTTACAAATTTGTGTTGGGCCACATTCAAGCCACCTGGGCCACGGGTTGGACAAGCTTGTCCAAAACTTTCTTCCCACCCCTTTGCTTTTTTTGTCTTTTTGTGGTATGAACCTTTAATATGAGGTCTGACCTCTAACTTTCTGAATGCACAGCACAGTAACAGTCACTGCAGGTGGCGTGCTGCCCGCCCATCTGGAGAACTGATTCTTCTGGCACAGGGGAAACTTGATCTGAATTGAGGGCGGCTCCCCTTTCCCTCTCCTGTGGGATTTGCATGTCTCCCAGTTCCCAAGTAATGCTGGTGTGGACGCTGCTTTGGGGAGGCCTTGCGTTGAGAGCCCGCCGAGTCAGGGATGTGGCAGTATACGGGCAGCTGAGGGTCCCTGTCTGAGGTTTTCTCCAACACGGTCAGCTGCTCTGGGATAGTAAGTGAAAAGTTAGAATTCACTGGACTGGAGACTTTTCCAGGCAAACAGAGCAAAAGGGTTATTTAGCACCTTGTCTGGTCCAGGAGAAATGCCCAAAACACACAGCTTGTTACCATCTAGCACCAGCCTCCCCTTTCCTCCTCCCTTCCAACTATGCATGGGAATCTCCCTCTCTGACTGCACAGTATATAGAGCCAGGCCTTGTGGCCGGCAGCCCTGAGTCCAGCTGTGGGACCTTGCACTAGGCACTTGCCCTCTCTGAGCTTCAGTTTCATCTGTAAACTGAGATGATAATAACTTTCTTCACAGAGTTGCTGGGAGCCTGAGTAAGACATGGCACCTTTCGCTTTTCGGCTCAGAGAAGGCCAAATGCAACTTTCTTCAGTCATCCTGAAACTGGGTTCAACTGACCCCAGCCTCCTAAATTTGACCCCAGTGAGATCAAAATTGTATATCTAAGGTACAGCAGTGACAAAGTCAGTGCCACATCTGCACTCGCTCCCAAGGTCAGTCCCCGGGTCTGTCTCCAAAAATGGTTGTTGATGGCATCACCAATCATTGATTGGAAGGGTCTGAGGATGACAGTGAAACTGACAGACAGGCCCGGATTGAGGTGGTGCCTTCCGCCTCTGCCCTGATCATCACAACCCTCAGGAATCACCAGCAGACAGACAAAAACACAGTGGAAACACCGCTTTTGATGAGATTATCAACATTGCCAACAGATGCAACACCAGTCTTTAGCCAGAGAACTCTCTGGAACCATTCAAGAATTCCTGGGAACTGCCCAGTCTGTGAGCTGCAATGTTGATGGTATCACAGATGATACCAACAGTGGAGCAGTGGAATCCCCAGCTACTTAAAAAGTGCAAAGGAAAATGTTTTAAGACAGGGTTATCCGATAAAAAAAAAAAAAAAAAAAAAAGACTGAGCACTGTGTCTGGCGTGTAGCAAATAATAAATGTCAGCAATTCTCAAAGAACCCAGGAACAGAAAGCATTTAATAAAAATTAGCTCTTGGCATAGTCTCCATCCATGCCCAGCAGAGCAGTCAAACGTCTTCCAGATTCACAAGAATTAATTTCTCCTCCCCTGTTCCTGCTTTGCACGTTGTAGTAGTCATCACATGGTTCACCTTGAGTTAGAGAACTATTTATTTATGTGGAGTCTTGTGTCCCTGGAGGTGAGTTTTTTGTTTTGTTTTGTTTTGTTTTGTTTTTATGAGACAGTCGCTCTGTCTCCCGGGCTGGAGTGCAGTGGTGCGATGTCGGCTCACTGCAAACTGTCCCCCAGGTCAAGTGATTCAGGGGGAAACACTTGATATGAATTGATGAATTCAGACCTGTTTGTGCACCCAGGAAACTCTCATGACAGTCAAAGCCATAAACACATCCCTCACCTCCAAAAGCAGGGCATCCAGTCTTTCGGCTTCCCTGGGCCACGTTGGAAGAAGAATAATTGTCTTGAGCCACACATAAAATACACTAACACTAAGGATAGCTGATGAACTTTAAAAAAAAAAAAAAAAAAACCAGGCCGGGCACGGTGGCTCAAGCCTGTAATCCCAGCACTTTGGGAGGCTGAGGCAGGTGGATCACGAGGTCTAGAGATCGAGACCATCCTGGTCAACGTGAAACCCCGTCTCTACTAAAAATACAAAAAATTAGCTGGGCACGGTGGCGCGTGCCTGTAATCCCAGCTACTCAGGAGGCTGAGGCAGGAGAATTGCCTGAACCCAGGAGGCGGAGGTTGTGGTGAGCCAAGATCGCGCCATTGCACTCCAGCCTGGGTAACAAGAGCGAAACTCCGTCTCAAAAAAAAAAAAAAAAAAAAAACTCACTGATGTAAGAATGTTTACAAATTTGTGTTGGGCCACATTCAAAGCCACCTGGGCCATGGGTTGGACAAGCTTGTCCATCTTAGTGAATTCTAACTTTCTACCTACTATCCCAGAGCAGCTGACTGTGGTGGAGAAAACCTCAGGCAGGGACCCTCAGCCTCCCCTATACAGCCAGTGAACCTGCCCCATCCTTGGCTCCATGGGCTCTCATGGGTCCCTGCCTCAGCCTTCCAAGTAGCTGGAATTACAGGCACCACCACTATGCCCGGCTAATTTTTGTATCTTTACTAGAGACAGGATTTCACCATGTTGGCCAGGCTGGTCTCGAACTCCTGACCTCAGGTGATCCACCTGCCTCAGCCTCCCAAAGTGCTGGGATTATAGGAGTGAGCCACTGTACCCAGCCTGGGTCCTACCCACAAACCCCAGAAGGCTGTGCACAGCTCCTACACGTGGTACACCTTCAAGGAATTATTCATGGATTTGAATAAGGTTATATATGATGTCATGTACTTTATTCTGTTTTTAGTGAGTTTATATTCTAAAATATTTGCTCCTGGTGAAGAATAATTCGGACAGTACAAATAAGATCATTTATTCCAAGTAGGATCATGTAATCCATACTCTTGAACTTTTAACTTAGTGCATTGTTTCTCATTAGTTCTTTTTGTTTTGTCATTTCTGTGTTCTTATTAGTTCTTAAAGATTTACTTCATTCTTTTTAACTTTGCATAACGGTGCATTCTTTCTGATAGTCCATCTTTCAGATGTGCCACAATTTGTCTAAGATGCTTCCTATTTCTGGACATTTTAGGACATTCTGCTGTTTTTTAAGTTATTATAAACAGCTGTGCCATGGATACATCTTTGTGTCCTTCTGTGAATGACCGGAAGATAAATTCCTAGAAGCAGATCAAAGGATCTGTGCATTTTTTTAGGTTGCTAACTGTATCAGTCACCCTTCAGTTAGCGGAGAGTAGCATTCATTCCAACCAGCTAACATAGAAGATTTGTTACAGGGTCCTAATGGTGCACAGAATTGTCAGAAGGCTTGAGCACAGATCTCACTGAACTTTCAGGGACAAGGGACAATATCAAGGGTTGTACTTCAGACCTGGGCCTCAAAAAGAACTGCCCTTTCAATCAGGAAAATCTTTGCCAGTCTAGGAAGCTGTTGGCTCTGCTTCCAACTCCAGAAGCTTGTCTTCATCTGCTGCAGTCAAGGCCAAAATGATTAGAACACTCCACAGAAAATCACTTGCAGCCTTTGTCAGTGAAAGCAGAAACGACAGCTTTTGCCTCTACCTTCCAAAACTCAAGCCATTAGCAGAATCCAACTCACATCTCAAAATCTGGACCTACAGGAGCCTCGGGCATGTAGCTGGTAACTTCCCTGTGTCTGCAGTGTGGGGCTCACATGCACAGGATGCTGGGATGGGTCTTGAGCACCAAAGACATCCATATCACTCGCTTTTGCCAAGATTCCTTCCCAGGCATACCCACCACCAAAGCTGCGTGGTATCGCACTTTTTTTTTTTTTTTTTTGAGATGGAGTCTTATTCTGTCACCCAGGTTGGAGTACAGTGGCAGGATCTCGGCTCACTGCAACCTCCAACACCCAGGTTGAAGCGATTCTCCTGCCTCAACCTCCTGAGTAGCTGGGATTACAGGCACTCACCACCACGCCTGGCTAATTTTTTTGTACTTTTAATAGAGATGGGATTTCACCATGTTGGCCAGGCTAGTCTCAAACTGACCTCAGGTGATCCATCTACCTTGGCCTCCCAAAGTGCTGGGATTAATTACAGGCATGAGCCACCATGCCCAGCCATGGTATCACACTTTATATAACACTGCATGATTTTAATTTTGCATTTCACTTTTTTCTTTTTTTAGAGAAAAAAAGTCCTGCTCTGTTTCCCAGAGTGGAGTGCAGTGTTCTGACCACAGCTCACTGCATCCTTGACCTCCTGGGCTCAAGCAGTCCTCCCGTCTCGGCCTCCTGAGCAGCTGGGACCGCAGTTATGCACCACCTCTCCCAGCTAGTTTTTAAAAGTTTTGTAGAGATCTCACTTTTGTAGGGGTCTCACTGTGTTGGCCAGGCTGGTCCCAAACTCAGGACTTAAGCAGTCCTTTCACCTTGGCCTCCCTAAGCCACCACACCTGACCTTGGATTTCTAAAGAATCAGATTGAATAGCTGGGCATGGTGGCGCATACCTGTAATCCCAGCTACTAGGGAGGCTGAGGCAGGAGAATTGCCTGAACCCAGGAGGCAGAGATTGCAATGAGCCGAGATCACGCCACTGCACTACAGCCTGGGCAACAGCGTGAGACTCCGTCTCAAAAAAAAAAGTCAGATTGAAGATCTTTAGATCTGTTTATTGGCCATTATAGCTGGGCTCACTCCTGCGTTTAGTTAGCAGGTGGCTTGCTAAGCTGGTATAGGATGGCCTTGGCTGAACCAAGCTGGCTCTGCTCCCCATGGTCTCTCTGTCAGGCTAGCCCAGGCTAATTTTTCATGACAGTGGCAGGGATTCAAGAGAGGAAAGAAACTGGAATGTGTTTCCAGTCTCAGCTCTGTTTGTGTAGATGCTCCCATCCCGTTGGCCAAAGTAAGGCATGGCCATGTCCAGAATTATTGTAGGAGGGCAGAACCCACAGCCTGGACAGAGGCCATTGACTGGGGCCATTAATGAAACCAGTTCTTGCATTATCTTTTGATCATTGTTTTGTCCTGTTGATTTGTAAGAGCCCTTTTTATATTGAGTTAATTAGCTCGACACATAATTTCAAATAATGACAAAATTTCAGTTATACATTTATGAGTAAAAAAACAGACTACAGCACAGCAGAAATAATCTCCTATTAGAGCTCCTTTTAAAAAAAGCTCTTGAATAGATACAGGCATACACAGGCACTCACTAAAATGCTGGGAGGGGGATGGCACAGATTCTTTGGATATGATAGGGTGTTTCTAGACTACAGCATGTGGGAACTTTAAAGAACTCTCGGAGTTCTAGAGCTTCCACCTGTGCCAGCCTACTATATGCATCGTCTTTATTTTTCCCAGTGTTGCTGAAAATCAATAACTAGCTAAAAGTGAAATGAGCGCAAAAGATGGAACAAAATCCAGCTTGTGGCTTATCCTGCCCCTTGAACACACAGCTGCGGTCTACCTCAGCCTTTCCTCTCTTCCAGCTGATGCAGACTGACTTAGATAATTCCATTTTGTGATTTAATATCAGATGGAGGTGGGGAAGCTGAGGCTGGAGGATGGCTTAGCCCAGGAGTTCACAGCTGCAGTGAGCTATGATCACACCACTGCACTCCAGCCTAGGTGACTGTCTCAAAATAAAGACCAAAAAATAATGGAGTAAACCAAAGTTTATTTTCTTTCCCGCATAAGAGTCTGGGCATACCCAACTACAGATGAGCTCAGCCGGCCCCAGGTGTCAGCCACCCAGGCTCCTGCTGCTGCTTGTTCTGCTCTCCTGAGTAGATTGCCATCTTCCGTGTAGTCCAAGATTGCTCCCCAACCTGTGGAGGGGAGTAAGAATGAAGGGAGTACCAGGTGTGGTGGCTCACGCCTGTATTCCCAGCACTCTGGGAGGCCGAGGCAGGTGGATCACTTGAGGCTAGGAGTTTGAGACCAGACTGGCCAACATGGTGAAATCTTGTCTCTACTAAAAATACAAAAATTAGCCAGGTGTGGTGGCACACACCTGTACTCCCAGCTACTTGGAAGGTTGAGGCAGGAGAATCCTCTGAATCTGGGAGGCAGAGGTTGCAGTGAGCTAAGATCGCACCCCTACACTTCAGCCTGGGAGATAGAGTGAGACTCTGTCTAAAAAAAAATGTGAAAGGGAGGCCATGCTTGCCCCTTTTTTTTTTTTTCAGAAGGCACCATAGATCATTTCTGTTCATATCCTATTGATCATAGATCCCTCATATAACTGCTAGAAGAAAATGGAAATTTAGGACCAGTTCAGGGCTTTGCCATATACCCTTATCAGAGGTGCCTTGATTGAGACTGGGGACAATTACGTGTGTAAGTCTTTGCTGCTATCCCCACCCTCCCCTAACACATACATCCTCCTTAACCTCAGATTTTAAAGTCTTAGAGACCAGAAAGCAAAACTTATTTCTAGACATGAAGTTGTAAGGGACGTGAGAGCAATCTGTGAAGATGGCATTCAGAGCACAGAACAAGGTCCCATAGCCATGTAGGGTATTAGTCCCCCACGGCGATGCTCCAAGTGACCTCATGCAGGTCACACTCCGTGCCTCTCAGGGTCCTGGTAAACAATGGGCAAAATGGCGCCTCCTTCCCAGGTTTACTGTGAAGGTAACTTGAGTTGGTGGGTGTCAGATCCTGGGGTCCAGGTCCAGCCCATGCTGAAGTCCGAGGGGAGTAGGTAGATGAACAGAAACACTGGTGGGTAAAGGCCGTAGGCACGTGAATATGGTTTTGTTCAGAAGCAGCCATCTCATCAACAGCTTTTTATTAGCAGCTTACTCACATTAGCTCTCTCACACTGTCCACTTTTATCTGGCTGTTTGCTTCAGCTCTGTGGCTCCTGCGACTCCCAAGTTTGCAGCTGCACAGCCGGCTCTCCCTTACCTTCAGAGTCAGCAGCTTAACTCTGGCACAAGCAAGCCATGCTGTGTCTGGGCTCCCACCTGTCTGTCTACCAGATGGACAGTTTTGGCTATCTCTCTTCCTCCGGGCACCAGCGCATCCACCACATCAAGCCATGTTGAGCTGAGCCCCAAGAGCACCTGTACAGTGTCAGCAGGGCAGTTATACCTTTTACCAACAATAGTGGCTCAGAGCCAAGTATGAATTTACACAGACAAGTTATATAACAAGTGAAGGTGTGCGCCTACGTGCCAAACTCGCTGAGTCATGCAGGCCTAGATCTCTGCCTCAGCCTATACCTTGACCAAAGCACATCCGTGTACCTTACAGTGTGCCTGACGCTTGGTCAAGCACAGGCACCCACCACGCATGAGCCATTGTTAGCATTAGTAACAGAAGCACCAGGTGAGCCTCTTTGGCTTAATGGGAGAGTCATCAAAGGTGAATGAAAATCATCAGGTTAGCAGCAGCCCAAGACCAAGAGGAAGGACTGAACTGAAGAAAGCAGTGAGACCATTTGTAGCCCTTGTTCCTAGTCTCTCTTTCTCCTTCCCTCCCTGGGGACGTATGTCCTTAGCCCTTGGGTGTCTCCATTGTCTTTATCAAAAAGAAAACTAGATTTCAGTCCTTGTTCATGCTAAGGTGCTAATGAAAAAATTTCAAATTTTACCAATCCCTGAGTTTTCTGTATTTTTTTTTTTTTTTGAGACAATTTCACTGTCACGCTGGAGTGGAGGGGTGTGATCTCAGCTCAATGCAATCTCTGAATCCTGGGCTCAAGCGATACTCCTACCTGAGCCACCCAGATAACTGGGACCACAGGCATACATTACCACACCTAGCTAATTTTTTTTTTTTTTTTTAGTAGAGACAGGGTTTCACCATGTTGCCTAGGCTGGTCTTGAACTCCTAGGCTCAAGTGATCTGCCCACCTCAGCCTCCAGAGTGCTGGGATTACAAGCATAAGCCATCATGCCCAGCCAATTGACTGCATTTTAACAAAAATCAAATTATTAAACCAAAAAAATGAAGCTCTCAAGATGAAATGAATGCATCATTAAAAACATAAAGAAGTCTGGGTGCGGTGGCTCACGCCTATAATCCCAGCACTTTGGGAGGCCGTCGGATCACGAGGTCAAAAGTTCGAGACCAGCCTGACCAACATGGTGAAACCCCATCTCTACTAAAAATGCAAAAAAATTAGCCGGGCATGGTGGCCAAGCCTGTAATCCCAGATACTCAGGAGGCTGAGGCAGGGGAATTGCTTGAACTAAGGAAGTGGCGGTTGCAGTGAGCTGGGATCACTCCACTGCACTCCAGCCTAGGTGACAGAGCGAGACTCGGTCTCAAAAAATAAAAAGTAAAAAAAAAAAAAGTAAACATAAATATTTTCAAAACTGTATTTTATCTGGGCCTTCCTCTGTATCTTTATTTTTTATTTATTTATTTTTTTGAGACAGAGTCTCCTTCTGTTGCCCAGGCTGGAGTGCAGTGGCACAACCTCGGCTCACACTTCAACCTCTGCCTCCTGGGTTCAAGCCATTCTCATGTCTCAGCCTCCTGAGTAGCTGGGATTACAGGTGCCTTATGCCTGCCACCACACCCAGCTAATTTTTCTATTTTTAGTAGAGACGGGGTCTCACCATTTGGACAGGCTTGTCTCAAACTGATCTCAAGCGTTCCATCCGCCTCAGCCTCCAAAGTATTGGGATTACAGGCGTGAGCTACTGTGGCTACTCTGTATCTTTATAATTAAGACACTTTCTGTTCCTTTTATGACTACATCTTGTTAATTCCGCGTCTCAAATAGTTCCACATTCTCCAGGCAAGCTCCAGCCATCGTTTGCTTTTTCCATGTACTGTGGCTGCACAGCAAATTAACCCCCAAATGTAGCCTCGCAAAGCAGCCTTTTGTTATGCTCATGGAGGCTGTGTATAAGAATTCAGACAGGGTCCAGCATGGATGCCTTGTCCCTGCTCCCAGGGACTGGAGATTGCAGCTAGAAGATTGGAAGACTCAAATCACTCGTGTCTACCAAATGATGCTGGCTGGCGACCTCAGTTCCTCCTCATATGGGCCTCTCCCTGGGTCTCTGGATATGGGCCAATGTGAGCTGAGAGAGACGGGGATGGAGCACCAGGCAATCATTGCCTAGCTCTTTTTTTTTTTGGAGACAGGGTCTCATTCTGTTGCCCAGGCTGGAGTGCAGTGGCACAATCTCGGCTTACTGCAACCTCTGCCTCCCTGGTTCAAGCAGTTCTCTTGCCTGAGCCTCCCAAGTAGCTGGAACTACAGGTGGGTGCCACCACGCCCAGCTAGTTGTTTCTGTATTTTTAGTAGAGATGGGTTTTGCCATATTGCCCAGGCTGGTCTCAAACTCCTGACCTCAGGTGATCTGCTGAACTTGGCCTCCCAAAGTGCTAGGATTACAGGTGTGAGCCACCATGCCCAGCCTCTTAGCCTCACAGTCTTGCTTTGAAAGTTATACAGCATGTGGTTCCATAGTGTAGTGGTTATCACATCTGCTTTACATGCAGAAGGTCCTGCTGGGTTCCATTTTTAGTGGAACCACATTGTGGTTTATTGTTTCCCTGGCCAGGCGCACTGGCTCACACCTGTAATCCTAGCACTTGGGGAGCATTGCACTCCAGCCTGGACAACGAGTAAAACATCTCAAAAAGAAAGTTATACAGCATCGCTTTGCCACATCCATTTGTCAAGGCATCAAAAACTCTCACCCAGGTTCAAGGGGAAAGAAGTAGACTCTACCTCTTGATGGGAGTGATAAGGTTCTGGAGGAACGGGGGACTAGAAAAGTGGAGCACCTTCCAGACATGGGCTCTGCCATGTTTCCATTGCCTGAATTACTGAGAATGGCCTCATCACTGACCTTGCTACTTCCTTTTTTTTTGTTCTTGAGATGGAGTCTCACTCTGTCGCCAGGCTGGATTGCAGTGGCGCAATCTCAGTTCACTGCAACCTCTGCCTCCCAGGTTCAAGACATTCTCCTGCCTCAGCCTCCCAAGCAGCTGGAACTACAGGCGCCCACCACCACGCCTGGCCAACTTTGGTATTTTTTTTAGTAGAGGTGGGATCACAGTTTTGGCCAGGCTGGTCTCAAACTCCTAACCTCAAATGATCCCCCCACCTTGGCCTCCTAAAGTGCTGGAATTATAGGCGTGAGCCACCACACCCGGCCTACTTCCACTTTTGTACTTCAGTTCCTGTGACTCTCACAGAGCAGCCTGGGAAAGCCCGAAGCAGATAAGCTTGTGCCCCTCCTGCCTCCTACTTCTCAGGATAGAAACCGCCGAGGCAGCCGGGGGACAGCCCAGGCCTTCTTTCAGTTCCTCAAACAAAACAGACCAACCTGGTTTCCTTCCACCTCAGTGTCTTCCTGGAAATTTCTTTTCTCAACTTGTCATGAGGACTCCTGTTCGCCCTTCTCGACCCAGCCTGAATGTCTCTCCCTAGACAGACGCCATAGCTGATCCCACTCTAAAAGCCCTTCCTGAAATCTTGTCACTTGTGCCAACATGGATGAAGCTGCAGGACCTGATGTTAGGTGAGGCGAGCCAGACACGGACAGACAAACACTGTAAGACTCACTCATATGTGGCATCTAACAACAGCAAACCTGGCGGGACACAGTGACTCACGCCGGTAATCCCAGCACTTTGGAAGGCTGAGGCAGGTGGATCACCTGAGGTCAGGAGTTTGAGAACAGCCTGGCCAAATGGAGAAACCCTGTCTCTACTGAAAATACAAAACTTAGCTGAGCTAATTACACCTGTAATCCCAGCTACTCGGAAGGCAGAGGTTGCAGTGAGCCAAGATTGCATCGTTCACTCAAGCCTAGGTAACGAGTGAAACTCTCAAAAATAAATAAATAAATAAATAATTTAAATAAACATATATTTTTAAATAATAAAAACAGCAAACCCATAGAAGCAGAGAATTGAATGGAGGTCTCCAGGGCTGGAGGGTGGGGAGAAAAGGGAGATGTCAATCAAAGGGTATGTGCTTTCAGCTATGTGAGGTGAGTACGTCCTGGAGACCTGCTGCACATTAAAGCAGTGCTTAATGCGACATGGGAGTTTGCTATACTTAGAAGTTTACTAAGATGGTAGCTCTCCTGTTAAGGGTTTGACTTAGTCCATTCAGGCTGCTATAACAAAATACCATAAACTGGGTGACTTGTAAACCAAGAATCGGCCTGACACGGTGGCTCACCCCTGTAATCCCAGCACTTTGGGAGGCTGAAGTGGACGGATTACCTGAGGTCGGGAGTTCGAGACCAACCTGACCAACATGGAGAAACCTCGTCTCTACTGAAAATGCAAAATTAGGCAGGCATGGTGGCACCTGCCTGTAATCCCAGCTACTTGGGAGGCTGAGGCAGGAGAATCACTTGAACCCAGGAGGCAGAGGTTGCGGTGGGCCAAAATCACACCATTGCATGCCACCCTGGGCAACAAGAGCGAAACTCCATCACAAAAAAAAACAAAAACAACAAAACACAGAATCTTATTTCTCACAAGAACTCCAAGAGGAACATGTTGGCAGATTTGGTGTCTGTTGCGGGCTTGCTGACTAGTTCATTGAAGGTGCCTTCTCACTGTGTTCTCACATGGTGCAAAGGGCAAGGGAGCCCTCTCTGGCCTGTCTTATAAGAATACTAACCCCAGCCAGCCTTGATGGCTTATGCCTGTACTCCCAGCACTTTGGGAGGTCAAGGCAGGTGGATCACCTAAGGTCAGGAGTTCAAGACCAGTCTAGCCAACATGATGAAATCCCATCTCTACTAAAAATACAAAAAATTGGCTGGAGGTGGTGGCAGGCACCTATAGTCCCAGCTACTCAGGAGGCTGAGGCAGAAGAATTGCGTGAACCTGGGAGGTAGAGGTTGCAGTGAGCCGAGATCGCACGATTGCACTCCAGTCTGGTTGACAAGAGGGAAACTGTATCTCAAAATAAATAAATAAACAATATAAAGTTTTAAAAATGATTAACAATCAGAACTGGGTGCAGTGGCTTACACCTGTAATTCCAGCACTTTGGGAGGCTGAGCTAGGCAGATCACAAGGTCAGGAGTTTGAGACCAGCCTGACCAACATGGTGAAACCCCATCTCTACTAAAAACACAAAAATTAGTCGGGTGGGTGTGGTGGCGCATGCCTGTAATCCCAGCGACTTGGGAGGCTGACACAGGAGAATCGCTTGGCAGAGGTTGCAGTGAGCTGAGGTTACAGTGAGCTGAGATCGCACCGAGCTGAGATCGCACCGCTGCACTCCAGCCTCTTGCTCGGGACAGAGCAAGAGTCCCGAGTTTTTTTTTAGTTCAGTCTCAAAAAAAACTTTGAGGAGGGAGGATCGTTTGAGCCCAGAGTTTAAGACCAGCCTGGGCAACATAGCAACACCCATCTCTACAATAAATAAATAAATATTAATAAATAAAAGCAGGCCCTTCCTGACAAGTTCTCTCAGCACTCTGTAACATTCCTTCCAGGTATTTTTTTTTTTTTTTTTTTTAAAGACAGGGTTTCACCATGTTGGCCAGGCTGGTCTTGAACTCCTGACCTCAGGTGATCCGCATGCCTCCGCCTCCCAAAGTGCTGAGACTACAGGCATGAGCCACCACGCTTGGCCTTTCCTTCTGGGTATTAACTATATTTGTTCATATGGTTTTTTAATAACATCCTTCTTTCCTACAAAACTGGAAATTCCCCAAGGCATGTCCATGCCTGGTATGTGCTAGGCGTGGAGGAGATCCTCTGTGGATGTTTGTTGAATGAACAAATGATACGGGAGAGGAGCAGCAGACAGAGTCTGTCTTCACCTTCAAGAATCAACCTCTAGGCCAGGCACCATGGCTCACGCCTGTAACCCCAGCACTTTGGGAGGCTGAGGTGGGTGGATCACCCGAGGTCAGGAGTTTGAGACCAGCCTGACCAACATGGTGAAACCCCATCTCTAAATAAATAAATAAGAATCAACCTCTAAAGAAGAGCCAGGGCCAGGGGCGCTGGCTCACCCCTGTAATCCCAGCACTTTGGGAGGCTGAGGTGGGTGGATCACCTGAGGTAAGTCAGGAGTTTGAGAACTGCTTGGCCAACAGAGCAAAACCCCATCTCTACTAAAAATACAAAAAAATTAGCTGGGCATGGTGGCAGGTACCTGTAATCCCAGCTACTATGGCTAAGGCAGCAAAATTGCTTGGTAAAACCCCATCCCTACCAAAAATAAAATCAGCTGAGAGTGGTGGCAGGTTCCTGTAATTCCAGCTACTAAGGCAGGAGAATTGCTTGAACCTGGCAGGCAGAGGTTGAAGTGAGCTGAGAGCACGCCATTGCACTCCAGCCTGGGCAACAGGAGCGAAACTCCGTCTCAAAAACAAAAGAAGAGCCAGGGCCAGGCACAGGGGCTCCCACCTGTACCTCAGCAACTGGGGAGACCGCGGCAAGAGGATTACTTGAGCCCAGGAATTTGAGATCAGCCTGGGCAACATAGAGACCCTGTCTCTACAAAATATGCAAAATTAACCAGGCATGGTGGTACACACCTGTGGTCCCAGCTAGTCAGGAGACTGAAGCAGGGGGATCACTTGAACCCAAGTCCAGGCTGCAGTGAGCTGTGATTGTGCCACTGCATTCCAGCCTGGAAGACAGAGCAATACTCTAATAATACTAACAACAATAATAACACAAGAAGAGCAAGATTGGTGTCACCATAAGACAAGTGCAGTGTGATAAGTGCTAGCAGAGAGCTAGAAAGGCAAGGCTGGAAGGGAAGTCTTCCTGGAGGAAGTGGTATGCAGGCCAGGACTTGAGGAATAGGAAGGAAGTTGATTGGCAAAGAAGTTGGGCAGCTCTTTTTTTGAGCAGAGTCAAGACGTGGATGTGATAGCATGAGACTCAGCTGATAGGTAAGTTGCCAGCCCCCCAGTTATGTTTGAATTTCAGGTAAGCAATGAATTATTTTTTATTGCAGAAAACCTACTTATGCTGAATAAGTATTTGTGGCGTGCTTTTGTGCCACTGCACTCCAGCCTGGGGGACAGAGAAAGACTCAGGAAAAAAAAAAAAAAAATTTAAGACCTAAAAACCATCCAATGCAGTTGATGCTCAGCAAAGCTCAATAATTTGAGATGACAGAGATGAAGGTCCCAAAATATGGCTGGCCTCCTGCCCTCTTAGTGAACAGAGCGTCGCCTTCTCCTATGTTCATATTGAACAAGGTTTTATTTTTATTGTTGTTGTTTTTGTTTTTTTGAGACAGAGTCTCGCTCTGTCGCCCAGGCTGGAGTGTAGTGGTGCAGTCTTGGCTCACTGCATCCTCCACCTCCTGGATTCAAGCAGTTCTCGTGCCTCAGCCTCATGAGTAGCTGGGATTATTGCACCACCATGCCTGGATAATTTTTATGTATTTTAGTAGAGACAGGTGTTTCACTGTGTTGGCCAGGCTGGTTTCAACACCTGGTCTCAAGTGATCTGCCTGGCTCAGCCTCCCAAAGTGTGGGGATTATAGGCATGAGCTGCCTCACTCGGCCTGTCTCATAATTTTATTTACGTGGCAACCCTAGATGAGATGTTAATTCACATGGCAAATTTGGCCTTTTCTGAAAGGGCATAAATGAATTTGATTTCTTAGCTGAACACACACACACAAAAGAGTTGAACTGAATTTGGAGCCCAGATTCTCAATTGTTGCTGAAAGAATCAACCTCAAAATCTCAGGAACTTAGCAGAGTAAAGGTTTGTTTCTCATTTGTGAAACGTCTGATGCGGATGTTCTTGGTTCATAGGTTTTCTGAACAGTTTTCTAGTAAGCGATAAACTCAAGGGCACAGGCTCCTTCAGCTGTACGGTGTCACCAGCTCAGACTCCTTGGCTTCCAGTCACACAAACTGGGGAAAGAGACAGCAGGAGCTCTCACACGGTCCTTCTGTGGGCCGGCCTGCCAATGGCCTCAACTCTGGCCACGTTCCATTAGCAACACTAGCTGTGTGACTCCGCCCAGACGCTGGGAGGGACTAGAAATGTCATCTTCCTGTGTGTCCCAGGGCTCTGGGCAGTCAAGGACAGGTTGGTAGAATGGATGGACCCAGGCTTGGGCACCAGAGAGCTCTGTGTTTAAATCACAGCCTGGCTAGGTGCAGTGGCTTACGCCTATAATCCTAACACTTTGGGAGGCTGAGGGGGAAGGATCACTTGAGCCCAGGAGTTCAAGACCAGCCTGGGGAACATAGTAAGACCCTGTCTCTACAAAAGAATTTAAAAGTAGGCCGGGTGCAGTGGCTCATGCCTGTAATCCCAGCACTTTGGGAAACAGAAGTTGAGGGGATCACCTGGGTCAGGAGTTCAAGACCAGCCCGACCAACATGGTAAAACCTCGTCTCTACAAAACATACAAAAATTAGCTGGGTGTGGTGGCGGACATCTAAAATCCCAGCTACTTGGGAGGCTGAGGCAGGAGAATCACTTAAATCTGGGAGGCAAACATTGCAGGGAGCCAAGATCGTGCCACTGCACTCCAGCCTGATTGAACAACAGAGCAAAAAAAGAAAGAAAAATTAGCCAGGCATGGTGCATGCTTGTAGTCCCAGCTACTTAGGAGGCTTAAGGAGTAAGGATCGCCTGAACCCAGGAAGTCAAGGCTGTAGTGTGCCACTGCATTGCAGCCTGGGTGACAGGAGTGACACCCTGTATCCAAAAAATAATAATAAATAAATAAATTACAGCCCAGGTGAATTAGCCCCTTACTTTCAACCTTCTCATTTGTAAAAAGGTCACAATACCTACCTTGCCACGTGGCCATGAGAGGAAAGACCTGGCACACAGAACGCACATGATGACAAGTTGTTACTATAGTATTATTTTGTTTGTAATCTGTCATTTACTTCCATGGTTTGCTGGTCAGGGGGCGGGGGCAGGTCTTGGTTTACCCAGTAGGAACACAGAGCAGTAGTATCGAATTTTTTTATGTCATAGATTTAAGACCTAGGCCAGGCGCAGTGGCTCATTCCTGTAATCCCAGCACTTTGGGAGGCCGAGGCAGCAGGTGGATCACCTGAGGTTAGGAGTTCAAGACCAGCCTGGCCAATATGGCCAAACCCCGTTTCTACTAAAAATACAAAAATTAGCCATGCCTATAGTCCCAGCTACTGGGGAGTCTGAGGCAGAAGGATTCCTTACAGCTGGGTGCAGAGGTTGCAGTAAGCTGAGATTGTGCCACTGCTCTCCAGCCTGGGCGGCAGAGCAAGACTCTTGTGTCAAAAAAAAAAAAAGATTTAAGACCTAAAAAATCATCCAATGCAATTGAGGTTCAGCAAAGCTCAATAACTTTTCTGAGATCACAGGGATGAGAGGCCCAAAATACAGCTGGCCTTCTGCCCTCTTAGTAAACAGAGCGTTACTTCTCCAAATGTTCACACTGCCACCCGGCCCTTTTCCACATAAAGAGATCAGGCCGTGCTTCCTACTTCTTTCAAACAGTTGGGAAGTTTTCTTTCTAGCTCTTAAATATCAGTGACAATTATGCCTAAGCTGGAATTTTAATTTCCCATTCAAGTTTCCTGAATATAGTACAGTAAAAGAAAACCCTAGAAATTTACTGACCTTTTCTTGTTGGCTTGACACCATGCTTGACTTCTCAGTGGGGCTGGATTTCCCCTCTGGGGTCTGACTCACATTTTCCAGCACACACAGCACCGCGTTCAATAACAACCAGATACTTTTACTGCTCAGATATTAATCTGGACCAAAAGTGGGTTGCTAATGATGATGACAATTGAACGGCATGGACCACATTTTCCCCCGCTTTGTATTTCTGTTTTCAACTTGGTTTCATTTTGCCATGACGAAAGAACTTGCTGACCTGACATGGTGGCTCACACCTGTAATCCCAGCACTTTGGGAGGCTGAGGGGAGCAGATCACTTGAGCCCAGGGGTTCGAGACCAGCCTAGGCAACATGGTAAAACCCATCTGTGCAAAAAATACAACTGTAGGCGTGGTAATTTGTGCCTGTAGTTCCATCTACTTGGGAGGCTGGGCTGGGAGGATCACTTGAGCCCAGGTGACTCCTGTCACCCCAGGCTGCAGTGCAGTGGCACAATCTCACCGCATTGCAGCCTCAACTTCCCAGGCTCAGGCAATCCTCCCTCCTTAGCCTCCTGAGTAGCTGGGACTACAAGCGTGCTCCACCAGGCCTAGCTATTTTTTTTTTTTTTTTGAGTCCAAGAGATGGAGGTTGCACTGAGCTGAGACAAAGTCACTACACTCCAGCCCAAGGGACAGAGTGAGACCCTGTCTAAAAAAAAAATTTTTTTTAAAGCCAGGCACAGTGGCTTATGCCTGTAATCCCAGCACTTTGGGAGGCTGAGGCATCTGGATCACTTGAAGTAGGGAGTTCAAGACCAGCCTGGCCAACATGGTGAAAACCCATCTCTACTAAAAATATAAAAATTAGCTGGGCTTGGTGATGGGTGCCTATAATCCCAGCTACTCAGGAAGCTGAGGCTGGAGAAGCACTTAAACCCAGGAGGCAGAGGCTGCAGTGAGCTGAGATTGTACCATTGCACTCCAGTCTGAGTCACAAAGCGAGACTCTTGTTTGTTTTTGAGATGGAGTTTTGCTCTTGTTACCCAGGCTGGAGAGCAATGGCGCGATCTCGGCTCACCAAAACCTCCGCCTCCTGGGTTCAGGCAATTCTCCTGCCTCAGCTTCCTGAGTAGCTGGGATTACAGGCACACGCCACCATGCCCAGCTAATTTTTCGTATTTTTAGTAGAGACGGGGTTTCACCATGTTGACCAGGATGGTCTCGATCTCTTGACCTCATGATTCACCCGCCTCAGCCTCCCAAAGTGCTGGGATTACAGGCGTGAGCCACCGTGCCCGGCGACTCTGTTTCAAAAAAAAAAGAAAAAAATTAGGCTGAGCAAGGTGGCTCACACCTGTAATCCCAGCACTTTGGGAGGCCGAGGTGGGTGGATTGCCTGAGCTAAGGAGTTCAAGACCAGCCTGGACAATATGGCAAAACCCTATCTCTATTAATAATACAAAAATTATCCAGGTATGGTGGTGCACAACTGTAGTCCCAGCTACTTGGGAGGCTGAGATGGGACAATAGCTTGAACCTGGGAGGCGGAGGTTGCAGTGAGCTGAGAATGCACCAGTGCACTCCAGCCTTGGTGACAGAGCAAGACTCTATCTCAAAAAAAAAAAAAAAAAAAACTTAGGAGGCTGACCTGGCAGTGACCCCACAGCAGACCCTGAACTCATGGGACTGTAGAGCAGAGCTCCCAAGGCCAGCTCTGCACTGCCTGGTTTCACTTATCTTTACCACATTTTCCCAAGTGACAAGAGTAGGGTCAGGGAGAGAGAAGCAACTGACTGCTGATCATTCATCTATCAGATGCCCCAGCTTTGTGACCTATTACAACAACCCTGGCTGATTTATTTTGTGGGCCTTTCCCATCTACCAGCATCCAAAATGAGACAAGCTTAAAAACTCCTTTCAGACCTTAGAGGTAAATAGTAATTTCCTCTTTTCACCCAAAGATGAAGGGGTCCACTTCATAGGCAAATCATTTTGCAGGCTTTGGGAGATGTCCTTCAACATGTTTCACCCACAAACGTCTGGAACCAGCTCTTCTTCTGTACAGGTTATTTTCAGCACGTAGCAAAATGCCATTCTGTAGCTCAGGAATTTCCACCAGGCTGCCCATGTTGTCACAGGGCAAATGACTACACAGATTGTCCTCCTGCGCAGGTTGGCAAGGAAAGATCTTCAATGGTATGTTATCAGTGAAACACCTATTCCTGTAGTAAGGCTCAAAAATACCTTTGATCAAAATTAGAGTAGGCTGGCCAGGCGCAGTGGCTCACACCTGTAATCCCAGCACTTTGGGAGGCTGAGGCGGGCAGATCATGAGGTCAAGAGATAGAGACCATCCTGGCCAACATGGTGGAAACCCCTTTCTACTAAAGATACAAAAATTAGCTGGGTGTGGTGGCGCATGCCTATAGTCCCAGCTATTCATGAGGCTGAAGCAGAAGAATCGCTCGAACCCAGGAGGTGGACATTGCAGTGAGCCAAGATTTGCACCACTGCACTCCAGCCTGGTGACAGAGCAAGACTCTGTTTCAAAAAAAAAAAAAAAAATTAGACCAGGCTTATGATTTTTTGTGGGGGGTGGGGGGCACAGTGTCTCACTTTGTTGGCCAGGCTGGAGTTCAGTGGTGCAATTATACAGCTCCCTGCTTGAGACCTCTGGGGCTCAAGCAATCCTCCTGCTTCAGCCTGTTTAGTAGCTGGGACTACAGGCACATGCCACTGTACCTGGCTAACTTTTTTTATTTTTAGTAGAGACAGGGTCTCCCTAAGTTGCCCAGGCTGGTCTTGAACTCCTGAGCTCAAGCAATCCTCCCACCTCAGCTTTCCAAAGTGTGGTGATTTCAGGCATGAGCCACTGGTGCCTGGCTTGAGGTTTATGATTTAAAGTGTGTATTTAGAGCAAATATTGTAAAAGGCGGTCCCTCAAGAAGAAGTGAAATCATAGTCTCTTGGTCTGCTTCTGTCTCCAAAGAGGGAGGAGCAAAGGTCCTGAGTGATGTGGTTCCTTTGGGCTGAGCTTCGTGGAAGATGAGAAGATTAGAAACCACCGGCCTGAAAACGGGGGTTTCCTAGGACAATCAAGACTCACATTTGACTATTCTTTTTTTATTATTATTATATGAGAGCTTCTCATTTTATCTCCTCTGAAGTTAACTAGCCTTTCTGACTACCAAACACAGCTAAACGATAGCTAGCTAGCTAGCTAGCTAGATAGATAGGTAGATATAGCTTCTGTGTCCCCTACACAGAGAAGAGAGAAGGAGAGAAGGAAATTATTACTTATGCAGATGAAAGTGGTCAGCTGGGAAGATCTCACATTTTCACTTAGCAGATAGCGGGGAGGAGCTATTTTGATAATACAGCTTCTCTTTCCATGGTGAAAGATAGATAACTTCTTCAAAGCTAAAAAAAAAAAGCTAAATACAGTTCTGATTTAAAATTTAATATGTGTGGCTAGGCGCGGTAGCTTACTCCTGTAATCCCAGTACTTTGGGAGGCCAAGGTGGATGGATCACAAGGTTAGGAGTCGAAGACCAGCCTGGCCAAACCCCGTCTCTACTAAAAATACAAAAATCAGCCAGCCATAGTGGTGGGCGCCTGTAATCCCAGCTACTAGGGAGGCTGAGGCAGGAGAATCGCTTGAACCTGGAAGGCGGAGATTGCTGTGAGCCGAGATTGCACCACTGCACTCCAGCCTGGGTGACAGAGGGAGACTCAGTCTCAAAAAATTAAATAAATAAATAAACAAACTACCCCAAAAAAGATAGCTAAAATAAGTGATTTACAGTTTTTTGTGTCGTTTCGTTTTGTCTGAGACAGGGTCTCACTCTGTCTCCTAGGCTGGAATGCAGTGGTGCCATCTTGGCTCACTGCAACCTCCGCTTCCTGGGTTCAGTCAGTTCTCCTGCCTCACCCTCCTGAGTAGTTGGGATTACAGGCACACGCCACCACACTCGGCTAATTCTTTTGTATTTTTAGTAGAAAGGAGGTTTCACCATGTTGGCCAGGCTGGTCTCAAATTCCTGACCTCAGGTGATCCACCCACCTTGGCCTCCCAAAGTGCTGGGATTACAGGAGTGAGCCACTGTGCCCGGCTGAGCATCTTTGCATGACCTCATTGGCCATTTATATATCTCAATTGGAAAAATGTCTATTCAGATCCTTTGCCTATTTTTTAATTGCATTTTTTGTTTGTCTGCTTTTGAGACAGAGTCTTGCTCTGTGACCCAGGCTGGAGTACAGTGGCACTACGTTGGCTCACTGCAACTTCCACCTCCCGGAGTAAAGCAATTCTTTTGCCTCAGCCTCCCAAGTAGGCTGGGACTACAGGTGCTTGCCAACATCCTGGCTAATTTTTGTATTTTTAGTAGAGACAGGGTTTCACCATATTGGCCAGGGTGGTCTCAAACTCCTGACCTGAAGTGATCTGCCCACCTCAATTTCCCAAAGTGCGGGGATTATAGGTGTGAGTCACCGTGCCTGGCCACATTATCTTTTTAACTATTGAATTGTAAGCCTTCTGGAAGCTTTTCCTTCCTTCCTGTCTTCATTCCTTAATGTTTTTCTCACACACACACAAAGAAAGCACTGAAAAAGATAGCTAAAATACAGTGCCTGAGCTCAAGGGTCTCACATCTAATGGAGGAGCTAAATGCTAAAGAAGGAGCAATTTGTGTTAGGGATGGGGGATCTGGTCGGGCTTCACACAAGATGAAATAGTTTGGGTCTGTGTCCACCAAACCTCATGTTGAATAGTAATCCCCAATGTTGGAGGTTGGGCCTGCTGGGAGGTGTTTGGGTCATGTGGGTGGATCCCTCACAGTAGTGAGTGAGTTGTCATGAGATCTGGTTGTTTAAAAATGTGCCCTCCGCCACCGCTCCCTCTCCCGCCACGTCAGTTGCCTGCTCCCCTGCACCTTCCAACATGATTTGAAGCTTCCCGAAGCCTCCGCAGAAGTTGTGGCCAGTGCTATGCTACCTGTACAGCTTGCAGAACCAAGAGCCAAGTGAACCTTGTTTCTTATAAATTATGCAGTCTCAGGCCGGGCGCCGTGGCTCATGCCTGTAATCCCAGCACTTTGGGAGGCCAAGGCTGGTGAATCATGAGGTCAGTAGTTTGAGACCAGCCTTGCCAACATGGTGAAACCCCATCTCTACTAAAAATACAAAAAATTGCCGGGCACAGTGGCGCGTGCCTGCTCGGGAGGCTGAGGTGGGAGGATCACTTGAGCCCAGGAGTCCTGGGCTCTAGTGCGCTATGCTGATCGGGTATCTGCACTAAGTTTGGCATCAATATGGTGACCTCCCGGGAGCGGGGGACCACCAGGTTGCCTAAGGAGGGGTGAACCGGCCCAGGTCGGAAACAGAGCAGGTCAAAACTCCCGTGCTGATCAGTAGTGGGATCGTGCCTGTGAATAGACACTGCATTCCAGCCTGGGCAACATAGCGAGACCCTGTCTGTTAAAAAAAATAAGAAGAAAATTAAAAAAAAAAATACAAAAAATTAGCTGGGCACAGTAGTGGTGGGTACCTGTAATCCCAGCTACTTGGGAGGCTGAGGCAGGAGAATCGCTTGATTAAATAAATAAATAAAGTAGTCTCAGGTACTTTTATTTTTTTTGAGACAGATTCTCGCTCTGTCTCCAGGCACCAGGCTGGAGTGTAGTGGTGCAATCTCAGCTCACTGCAACCTCCACTTCCTGGATTCAAGCAATTCTCCTGCCTCAGCCTCCCGAGTAGCTGCGACTACAGGCGCCTGCCACCACGTCCAGCTCATTTTTGTATTTTTAGTAGAGGTGGGATTTCACAATGTTGACCAGGATGGTCTCAGTCTCTTGACCTGGTGATCCACCCACCTGGGCCTCCCAAAGTGCTGGGATTACAGGCGTGAGCCACCGCGCCGGGCCTCAGGGATTTCTTTATAGCAACAGAGAACAGACTAATGTAGAAGACAAAAGCCTGAGCTGGAGAAGAGTGTTGCAGCTCACGCCATAGCTCAGGGGCGTCCTACGCTTACTTTTCTGTGCTGTATACATGAAGGAGACAGTGGAGGAAATGCCCTCAAGGAATTTGTGCTCTTGGAGTCACATTTATATTCACTCAAAAGGTAAATGCCATGAATAAGCCATTTGCTAAGTAAAGCTGTCCAATAGCAGCTTCTGGTGCATGTAGACCAGGCGTCACATCAGCTGATTTGGGGGCTGTGGGAAGACCCCGCCCACCATTAAAAGTCTATCCGAATCCTTCCTATCTCTCTACAAATCACCACAGCCGCCACAGAAAGCTCTTATTTTCACTCTGCTAAGGCATTTGGGAGGGATAGTGCCTCCGGTAACTGGTTTATTTATACAGCCTGCTGATTGAACTTAACAGTTGATTTAGTTTTGTTTTTTTAGGGTTTTTCTTTTTTGAGACCGAGTTTTGCTCTTGTTGCCCAGGCTGGAGTTAGTGGTACGATCTCAGCTCACTGCAACCTCCACCTCCCAGGTTCAAGCAATTCTCTGCCTCAGCCTCTTGAGTAGCTGGGATTACAGGTACCCACCACCACGCCCAGCTAATTTTTCTGTATTTTTAATAGAGATGAGAGTTTCACCATGCAGGTGTTAAACTCCTGACCTCAGGTGATCCACCCACCTCAGCCTCCCAAAATGCTGGGATTACAGGCCGTGAGCCACTGCGCCTGGCCTGTTGCTTTTAGAATTTACAGTTTAAAAAACAGTAACTCAGACGTTTGAATCCGGCCCCACCACTACCAGCTGTTTGTTTTGACCAATCCCAGTCTCTGAGTCAGTGCCCGTATCGGTACGATGGATTTTTAATAGCTGCCGTATTCGGTAACTACAAGGGCGGAAAGAACGCACACATGTTAAATACCTAGCCAGTGCTTGGCCAAAAGAGAATCCCCAAATAGTAGTTTGAATCTGTGTCATGAGACTCAGACAGCACAGGACACTGACGCACAGAACGGGTGACATAGTGTTAGTGAAGGGGTGTGATTGGGGGGACAGGGTCTGCTATTTATTTGGGGCACCAGTGAGGGGGCCTCCCACTGAGAAAGGAAATGCCAGAAACAAAGGGGCAATGAGAGGGTGTGAGGGTGAGGACATGGCCCAGGTCACCAGCCTGACGACTTCCCACCAGGGCAGGGCTGAAGCTCTGCTGTGCTAGTCACCTCCACTAGGCTTCAGCCACCTGCAGCGGTGAGGCCTTCCAGAGGCCACATGATGTGAACCGTGGGAACAGCACCTCCACTAGGCTGCATCTGACTCTGCAAGGGGTTTTCAGGAGAGCTTTGGACAAGGCACAGAAGCGCGAATCCTCAAAAAATCTAAATGAGGGCCCAGAGCCGCCGGCCTCCCCACTTTCTGCAGCAAGACCTAGGTGGACCCTAGCGCCTGCAGACCCCCAGACAGGACACGAGGCGCTCTGAGAGATGGAAATACAACCTCTTCCTGCCTCACAGGGCAGCGGAGAAGCACTGACTTTCTAGCTGCTTTAGCCACACACAGTGGCACCTTTGTTCCTGTCTAGTGAGCTTGCTGCCTCCAGGGATGCTGCCCGGGCCCATCGTGCCCATGCCGGAAACATGCAGTCCTTTGATAATCACCCTTTATCCCAGGCTCCGAATCAAAGTGGCAAAGATGCTGACAAGGACTCCAGCAAACACGACCGAGGCTTTCAGGTCTGACCCTGAAACGAAGACCCACCTCCGTGGGGAGAAGCACACGCTTCTCTGGGCTGAAGGCTCAAAGGAAACAGGAACTGCGGGCCCTGCACACAGCTGCACTCGCTGGGGCAGCTCAGACGAACGTCCCCAGGGGAGTCCGAGTTATCCGGATGGCGTTCCTGACTCCCCGAGGGGTGAGACACCCCTCCTCCAGCCTGCATTTCCACATGCTGGGTGCAGCCTGCAGACAACTTCAGATGCCTTGTTTTTTATTGAGGTGAAATTCAAGTACCATAAATTGTACCATTTAAAGCGAAAAATTCAGGCCGATGTAGTGGCTCACATCTGTAATCCCGGAACTTTGGGATGCTGAGATGGGAGGATTGCTTGAGCCCAGGAGTTCGAGACAGACTGAGCAACATAGTGAGAACCCATCTCTGTACAAAAAAAAGAAAAAAAAGTTAGCCAGGCATGGTGGTGTGTGTGCCTGTGTTCCCAGCTGCTCAGGAGATGGGAGGATCGCTTGAGCCTGGGAGTTTGAGGCTGCAGTGAGCTGTGATTGCCCCACTGCACTCCAGCCTGGGTGCCAGAGAGAGACCCTGTCTTTAAAAAAAAGGCTGGGCATGGTGGCTCATGCCTGTAATCCTAGCACTTTGGGAGGCCGAGGTGGGTAGATCACGAGGTCAGGAGTTCCAGACCAGCCTGGCCAAGATGGTGAAACCCCGTCTCTACTAAAAATACAAAAATTAGCTGGGCGTGCTGGTGGGTGCCTATAATCCCAACTACTTGGGAGGTTGAGGCAGGAAAATTGCTTGAACCCAGGAAGTGGAGGTTGCAGTGAGCCAAGATCATACCACTGCACTCTAGCCTGGGTGACAGAGCAAGACTCAGTCTCAAATAAATAAATAGATAGATAGATAGATAGACAGATAGATAGATAGATAAACAATTCAGTAGCATTTAAAGCATTCAGTGTTCTGCAGGCACCACCACTATCCAGCTCCAAAACATTCTCAACACCCCAAATACAAGGCCATATCTATATGCAGTCACTCTCCACTCTCTCCTCCCAGCTTTGTGTGACGACAGTGTGCCAGGGACTGTGCTCAGGACAGAAGCAGAGTGGTGAACAAGGCAGTTGCAGTCCCTGCCATCGGGGGGTCCAGTCTAATGTGACAGTCAGATACTGCTCAAACAACTGGAAATGGTACATGTGACAGGAGCCTGTGACAGAAGTGCTGGGCAGGGGCCAGGCACAGAGGCTCATGCCTGTAATCCCAGCACTTAGGGAAGCTGAGGCGGGTCAGGGGTTCAAGACCAGCCTGGCCAAGATGGTGAAACCTGGTCTCTACTAAAAATACAAAAATTAGCTGGGCATGGTGGTTCGTGCCTGTAATCCCAGCTACTTGGGAGGTGGAGGCAGGAGAATCACTTGAACCCAGGAGGCGGAGGTTGCAGTGAGCCAAAATTTCTCCACTGCACTCTAGCCTGGGCAACAAAGTAAGACTCCATCTAAAAAAAAAAAAAAAAAAAAAAAAGTGCTGAGTGGGTCCAAGCTCAGAGTTCTCATACGATGCTCTGCTGAGGTGGGCTTCACAGTCGTCCCCATTTTCCAGATGAACAAACCAGGGCCTTGAGAGGTTAAATGCCTTGCCCAAGGTTAGACCACCAATAAATGGCAGAGTTGGAATTCAAACAAAGGTCCCTATAACTCCCAGCAAGTTGCTTTCTGTCTCTGTGGATTTAATTATTTGTACATTTCATATCAATGGAATTTCACAAGATGTGACCTTTTGTATCTGGTTTCTGTCACTTATTTGAATATCGCAAAGGTTCATCCAGGATGTAGCATGCTTCCGTGGTGGATCCCCTTTTATAGCTGAATTCTATTTCATTGTTTGGATGGACACTTTGTTTCTTTGCTCATCCACTGATGCACATCTGGCTTGTTTTCCTTTTGGTTACTGTTGAAGTTGGTGCACAGTATCTGTTTGATTCCCTGCTTTTCATTCTTTAGGAGTAGGACTGCTGGATCATAGAGTGATTGTTTTTTGTTTGTTTGTTTGTTTTTTGAGACAGGGTCTCGCTCTGTCGCCCAAGCTGGAGTGCAGCAGCGTGATCACAGTTCACTGCAGCCTTGACCTCCTGGGCTCCAGTGATCCTCCCACCTCAGCCCAGAAAGCAGTTGGGACTACAGGCATGTGCCACCATGCCTGGCTAGCTTTTTGTAGAAACAGGGTTTCGTCCTGTTGCCCAGGCTAGTCTCAAACTCCTGGGCTCTAGCCGTCTGCCCACCCTGTCCTCCCAAAGTGCTGGGATTACAGGTGAAAGCCACTGCACCCAGGCTGAGTGTCTTTTCCCGTGCTTATTGGCCACTGTATATCTTCTTTGAGAAATGTCCATTCTTTGCCCATTTTTTAGTTGGATTGTTTGTTTTTTTTGTTGTTTAGTTGTAAGAGTTTTCGTTTTGTTTTGTTTTTATTTTGTTTTATTTTTTAAGAGGGAGTCTCACTGCTGGAGTGTAGTGGTGTGATCTTGGCTCACTGCAACCTCCATCTCCCAGGTTCAAGCGATTCTTCTGCCTCAGATTTCTGAATAGCTGGGACTACAGTTGCCTACCACCATGTCCGGCTAATTTTTTTGTGTTTTTAGTAGAGATGGGGCTTCCCCATGTCAGCCAGGTTGGTCTTGAACTCCTGACCTCAAGTGATCTGCCCACCTTTGCCCCCCAAAGTGCTGGGATTACAGCATGAGCCACTGTGCCTGGCCTGTAAGAGCTCTTTATACATGGATGAGTAAATAGGCTTCGGTTTTTCTTACCACATTCTGATTTTTTAAATGCTTCCCTCCTCCACTAGCCAGGGAGCTCCTTAAGAGCAGGGCCTGGGCCTTCATTAAAAAAATCGAACAGGCCAGACTCAGTGGCTTAAGCCTATAATTCCAGCACTTTGAGAGGACAAGGTGGGTGGATCACCTGAGGTCAGGAGTTCGAGACCAGCCTGGCCAACATGGTGAAACCCTGTCTCTACTAAAAATGCAAAAAATTAGCCAGGCCTGGTGATGCATGCCTGTAATTCCAGCAGGAGAATCTCTTGAATATGGGAGGCAGAGGTTGCAGTGAGCCGAGATTGTGCCATTGCACTCCAGCCTGGCAACGAGAGCAAAAATCAGTCTCAAAACAAAAACAAAAACAAACAGGCCAGGCGTGGTGGCTCACACCTGTAATCCCAGCACTTTGGGAGGCTGAGGTGGGTGGATCATGAGGTCAGGAATTCAAGGCCGAGATGGTGAAACCCTGTCTCTACTAGAAATACACAAAAAAAAGCCAGGTGTGTTGGTGGGTGCCTATAATCCCAGCTACTCAGGAGGCTGAGGCAGAGGTTGCAGTGAGCCGAGATTGTGCCACTGCACTCCAGCCTGGGTGATAGAGCAAGACTCCATCTCCAAAAAAAAACCTTCTAGTGGCTGGGCACAGTGGCTCACACCTGTAATCCCAGCACTTTGGGAGGCTGAGGCAGGAGGATTGCTGGAGCCCAGGACTTCCAGACCAGACTGCGTACATACTACAACTCTCTCTCTACAAAATATTTAAAAAATTAGCTGGGCATGGGGGTGTATGCCTGTAATCCCAGCTACTCAAGAGGCTGAGGTGGGAAGATTGGGTAAACCCAGGAGTTCATGACCAAGTTGGGCAACATGGTGAGACTCCGTCTCTACAAAAAAATTTTAAAAATAGCCACATATGGTGGTGCATACTTTTGGCACCAGATACCCAGGAGGCTGAGGCAGGAGGATCATTTGAGCCTAGACTGAGTGAGCCTGGAGGCTGCAGTGAGTCATATTCGCTCCAGCCTCGGAGACAGAACAAGACTCATTCTTAGAAAAAAAAAAAAAAAGAAAAGCTCTTTTGAGTGGGGTGGCTGGTATGGTCCTGAGCTGGGGTGGCCATGAAGCCTGCCCCTTGAGAGAGCCTGCTCAACATCTGCAGAAGACAGGGCCCCAGCAGCATCATCTCAGCCTCTGGATTCACATAACTGTGTCTGAACCCTACATGTAGACTTTGCAACTCTGAGATCCCCAACATTCAACTTCAACGTCATTCTCTTCCTTATTTAAGATGCATTTGAGTTGGGCTGGGCGTGGTGGCTCACACCTGTAATCCAAGCACTTTGGAGGCCAAGGCGGGCGGATCACCTGAGGTTGGGAGTTTAAGACCAGCCTGACCAACATGGTGAAACCCCGTCTTATAAAAAAATTTAAAAAAAGATGCATTGAGTTGAGTTAGATATCCTTTTTTTTTTTGGAGACAGGGTCTCACTCTGTTGCCCAGAATGGAGTACAGTGGCGTGATCACAGCTCACTGCAGCCTCCACCTCCTGGGCTTAAGCGATCCTCCCATCTCAACCTCCTAAGTAGCTGGGGCCATAGGCACGTGTCACCGCATGCAGCTAATTTTTGTATTTTCTGTAGAGACAGGGTTTTACCATGTTGCTTAGGCTGGTCTCAAACTCCTGAGCTCAGCCAATCTGCCAGCTTCAGCCTTGCAAAGTGCTGGGATTATAGGCACGAGCCACCATGTCCAGCAGGTTTGAGGTTTGAGTTAGATTTCTGTAATAATTTTCTTCAATTTTTTTTTTTTTCAAGATGGAGTTTCACTCATGTTGCCCAGGCTGGAGTGCAATGGTGCAATCTCAGCTCACAGCAACCTCTGCTTCCTGGGTTCAAGTGATTCTCCTGCCTCAGCCTCCAAAATATCTGGGATTACAGGGATGTGCCACCATACCCAGCTAATTTTGTATTTTTAGTAGAGATGGGGTTTCTCCATGTTGGTCTGGCTGGCCTCGAACTCCCAACCTCAGGTGATCCGCCTGCCTCAGCTGGGATTACAGGCCTGAGCCACGGAGCCTGGCCAATTTCTGTAACTTTCAACAAAAAGATTAAAGAGCTCATATTCGGATGTTACACCGAGCTTTGTTTGAATCTCAGCCTGGCCATTTATTGGTGGTGTAACCTTGGGCAAGGCACTTAACCTGTCAAGAATCCAATTTGTTCATCTGAAGAACACGGATGATCATGAAGCCCACCCCATCAGAGCAGCGTGGAGAGCGCACGAGTATATGGGAACCCTGAGCGTGGACCCACCCAGCACTTCCATCGTGAGCTCCTGTAACACGTGTCAGTTCCAGTTGCGTGCGCCAGGTCTGGCTGTCATGTTAGACTGTGGATCCTGTGACGGCAGGGCCTGCATCCGCCGTGTTCACCACTCTGCTCTGTCCTGAGCTCAGTCCCTGGCATGTTGTAGTCACACAATGTTAGTTGAATGACTTTTCCATTCACTGACTGACCATAGCAAATTGCTTACTCTACTGAAGTTGAAGTCTCTGCTGTCCCATCTGCCCATAAGGAAGGTCACACTGAGCAACTGATGGATTCCCAGTGAATGGACATGCAGGTGGTTTGTTTCCTCCTCTCCTTTTATCCCATGAAAACTTACCAGCTACCTGGAATATCCATCTTTCTCCCAAATCCCTCCTGAAAAAGTGGTCAGTCTCCCATTAATTTTGCTTTGATTCCTAAATTATTTCCCTTTTCTGGGAATCTTCTAGGGTTGCCCTCGCTGGCCACCTGAACATGGTCCCTGCTTTTCATGAGAGTCCTTCAAGCCCACACAAGCTTGCTAAGGGCTGGGACCTGGCTTGGCTATAAATATCCTCAGATGTAAGTGACCTCAGAGCTCAGACCCCAGCCCCTCTCTCTGCAGGTGACAAAACCTGATTCTCAGAGCCTCTCTTGGAGGCTGCCCCTGGGTAAAAGCAGGTCCCCTCTGCCCTCTGGATTACATGGAAAGTGTAGTCCCGGCTGACGTCTGAAATTCTTTCCTTAGAGTTTAATTTCTTTGATTTAACCAAGTGATCCCTATTAAAATGTCAACGCCCAAGGAAAGGTTTCAGCTCTCCAGCCTGTCCCTCACATTCTAAGTGAAAGGATGATCCAGACAGACAGATCCGTGGCTGCGGGTGTCTCCTTTTGAGATTCCTTTTCTCTTTCATCTGACGCCATCAGCACAAAAATGTGGCGACAAAGCACTGAAGAAATCACTGTGGCTGAGCGCTCCCGCAAGGCTTGCTGTCTGCAGCCCGGGAGCTTGAGGTCCCTGCCCTCCCTGCCTTGCCCCCCACCCCCTGCAGCTTTTCCATACCCTCCCAGCACCTCCGTGCCAGCACCTCATGGACTCCCAGCACCTTTGGCCAAGACTGCAGTTTGCTGGGTGTGGTCAGGGGCCTGTCCTGGTCTGACTGGTTCTCAAGGAACAAGCATGGGTGGCAGCGCCTTGTCCTACAGGGCGGCAGGGGTGGGGGAGCTAGGAGTCTTAAATCCCCACCTGGTGAAGCGTGAGCTGACACGATCCTCACCTCATGGGACTGGGGCGGCGGGGGGGGGTACCATGAAAAGGAGCTGGGCATCGGGAGCTATTCTCTGAGGTTGTAGGTTTTTGTTTAATTTGCTTTTTTTTTTTTGAGACAGAGTCTCACACTGTCGCCCAGACTGGAGTGCAGTGGAAGGATCTAGGCTCACTGCAACCTCCACCTCCAGGGTTCAAGCAATTCTCTGCCTCAGCCTCCCAAGTAGCTGGGATTACAGGCATCTGCCACCACGCCTGGCTGATTTTTGTATTTTTAGTAGAGACAGGGTTTCACTATCTTGACCAGGGTGGTCATGAACTCCTGACCTCAGGAACCACCGCCTTGGCCTCCCAAAGTTCTGGGGATTACAGGATGAGCCACCACACCCAGCCTATCTATCTATCTATCATCTATCTATCTATCTATGTATGAGAAAAAGAAAAGAAGTGTTCTGAGAGGAGGGGAGAAACCAGACCACTTGGAAAGGGAGATAGAGGCGCCTCTGACTGCAAAGAGCTTCTCACTTTGACGTGAAGGAGGTTAAAAAGGACGTGGTTCTAAGTGGCAGAGGTCACCCTTCAATTAAATATGTTAATCATTTTACCTAAGGGGTCAGGAGACTGGAACAAAGAATTTTTTTCCTTAATGTCTTCCCCTTCCTATGACTTGGAGTATCTTCGTCTTCTTCCAGAAATTCAGGAGGCAGTAGCTGGGAAATGCCGGCTCTGGTACCTGCCCACACCTGCCAGTGGTTCCTGCAGCCTCAGACAGCAGTGTGTTCTCCCTGGTGGCTGTGTGTCTGCAGCTGTTCCTGCTTCATGTCCCTGTCTGTGTCAAATCTCTCTGCTTTTTTCTTTTCTTTTTTTATATTTTATATATTTTTAATTTTTTTTTAGAGACGGAGTTTCTCCATGTTGGTCAGGCTGGTCCCAACCCTGGGTGATCTGCCCACCTCAGCCTCCTGAAGTGCTGGGATTACAGGCATGAGCCACTGCACCTGGCCCTCTCTGCTTTCTTCTTGGAAGGACACTTGTCATTGGATTTAGGACCCACCCTACATCTAGCGTGATTTCATCTTCAGGTCCTTAAACTAATTACACCTGCAAAAACTCTTCTGCATATAAGGTCACATTCAAGATTCCCTGGGTTAGGACATAAGGCTTTGGGGCCACCACTCAACCCAGTACATGCTGGGTGGGGGAAAAGCCCACTCTTGCTGTAAATGCAATCTTTGACAAAAAGATGTGGGTTGCTATTTTATTTGGATGTTAGTTACACTGAGCGTCCCCAAATTGTTTTCCACTTTTTTTCTTTGAGATGGAGTCTTTTTTTTTTTTTTGCCCCCCCCCAGCACCTAGGTGGAGTCTTATTCTGTCGCCCAAGCTGGAGTGCAGTGATGCAATCTCGGCTCACTGCAACCACCGTCTTCTGGGTTCAAGTGATTCTCCTGTCTCAGCCTCCTGAGTAGCTGGGACTAGGGCTCAAGAAATCCTCCCATCTCAGTCTCCTTAGCTGACTAGATGCCCACACCACTGACTACAGCGCCTGCCACCATGCCTGGCTAATTTTTGTATTTTTAGTAGAGATGGAGATTTACCATGTTGGCGAGGCTGGTCTCAAACTCCTGACCCAGGTGATCCACCCACCTCAGCTTCCCAAAGTGCTGGGATCATAGGCGTGAGCCACCACGTCTGGCCCGTTTTCCACTTTATAGATGAATAACGTTTTGAATACATACTATAACAACAAAAAGGTGTTTAACTGTAGAATGCTATGCAACTGTTAAAAAGAATGAGTTCAGCTGGGCGCAGTGGCTCACACCTATAATCCCAGCACTTTGGGAGGCCAAGGCAGGTGGATTGTGTGAGTCCAGGAGTTAAAGACCAGCCCGGGCAACATGGTGAAACCCCAGCTCTACAAAAGAAAAAAGAAAATTAGCCGAGCATGGTGGCACGTGCCTGTAGGTCCAGCTACTTGGGAGGCTGAGGTGAGAGGATCACCTGAGCCCAGGAGGCAGAGGTTGAAGTGAGCCAAGATTGTGCCACTGCACACTCCAGCCTGGATAACAGGGTGAGACCCTGTCTAAAAAGATAAAATAAATAACATAAACTTGCAAAAATAAAGAGAATGAGAGGCTAGGTGTGTTGGCTCATGCCTATAATCCCATAATCCCAGCACTTTGGGCCAGGATTTTGAGACTAGCCTGGACAACATGGTGAGATCTCATCTCTAAAATAAAAATAAAAAAAAAATCAGCCAAGCATGATGGTATACACCTGTAGTCCAAGCTACTCAGGAGGCTAAGGCAGGAGGATCACTTGAGCCTAGGAGATAGAGGCTGTAGTGAGTCATGATTACACCACTATACTTCAGCCTGGACAACAGAGTGAGACCCTGTCTCAAAAAAAAAAGGGGGGGGGAAGAAAGAGAGGCAGAGGAAGAAGGAGGAGAAGGAGGAAGAGGAAAAGATGAGGAGGAAAGGAGGAGAAGGAGAAGAAGGAGGAGGAAAAGGAGAGAGAAGGAGGAGGGGAGAAGAGGAGGGGAAGGAGGAGGGGGGAAGGCGAGGTGGAGGAGGGGGAAGAGGAGGGGGAGGACAAGGGGAAGAGGAAGAGAAGGAAGAATAATAAAAGGAAGAAAAATGAGGAGGAGAAAGAAGAGAGAAGGGGGGAAGAGCAAAAAGGAAGAAGGGGGAGGAGGAGAAAGAAGAAGAGGAAGAGGAGGAGGCAGAAGAAGAAAAAGGGGGAGGAGGAGGAGGAGAAAAGACCCAGCTTGGCAGCTCCCCTGGTTTGACATCTGTGAGTGTCTTCTCCTCACTGATGTGGCTGACATCACCTTGGAGTCCTGGTCTCCACTGTGCTGGCCGAGGGAGGCTATGTAGAATATTTCTGGAAAGACACAAGAAACTATTAACATTGGGGAGGTCTGGGTAGAAGGAACACATCCTACTTCTCACTGTATAGTCTTAAGATTATTTGACTTTAAAAAGTATGTGTATTTTTATTATGTTTGGAGGGGACTGGGAGGGGATGAGGGGAATCTGTGTATTATTTTTGTATGTGTTTTGTTTTGTTGTTTTTTTTTTTTTTGAGACAGAGTCTCACTCACTCAGGCTGGAGGGCAGCGGCGCCATCTCGGCTCACTGCAACCTCCGCCTCCTTGGTTCAAGGGATTCTCTGCCTCAGCTTCCTGAGTAGCTGGGATACAGGCGCGGGCCACCATGCTCAGCTAATTTTTTTATTTTTTATTTTTTTTTAGTCAAGACAGGGTTTCACTCCTGTTGGCCAGGCTGGTCTTGAACTCCTGACCTCAGGTGATCCACTTGCCTTGGCCCCCCAAAGTGCTGGGATTACAGGCGTGAGCCACTGGCCTGGCCGAATTTTTGTTGTTGTTGTTTTTAATCTTCCTGTCTGCTATTGAAGGGTTCAGGGACTTTCTAACTCTACCTCCCCACCAGCAATGCCTGCCCTTGGGGTGAGGAGTTGTGTTGCAGGGGCTCCCGAGCCCTGACTGCTCCTTGTACATACCTTCAGCTAGTGCCCCGTGTCCACCCTAGCTCAA